TGGTTCTCTTTTGAGGCAGACTGAGATTGGAAATGCCTTGGCCATTAGGGCACGTTGCTAATGCACATGGTTCTTTTTCAGATTGGGGCCACCCCCTTTCTCTTTCCCTTTCACTTTGCCTAGCCTTGGCCAATATTTTCACCCATGCATGTACCTTGGCAGCGCCATCGCCTTTAACTTCGCCTACAACTGGTTGTGAAGCCACTATATGGAGGTCACCCCTCATAACTGGGACCTCCCCTTCAAGCCCCTGGCCATCCTGGCTTCAGTCGAGTAAAAATGGACCAGCGAAAGATAAGTCGATAGCGTTATAGCAGCGCCAAAGATGTAAAACTTATTTTGTTATTTTTGTAAAATTGTAATGTAATGAAAATGCCTTTTTTTTGTTAAATAAAATCTGTTAAATTTTTGTGTTCTGTTTGTTCTTCTATCCTCTAGCCATGCCATGGTCGACACACAGCTACACGCCTGTAGATGTCTTCATGCCACCGACTGAGCTACCGGAAGCTAATGTTAACCCCCTTTCTGTGATTGTGCAGAAAAGTTGGAATCTTCATTGCATTCCATCTTTTCTGGACTTTTTGCGGAAAGGAAGCGTTACAAAATGTATCAACAGAAACATGTGGTGCAGCATATATGACAGCGAAATAAAGATTCTGATGAGATACAATGCATTTGCATACCAAAAAATCTATTTCTGGGAAACTTGTATCAAACTGCGTAGTATCTACTACAACAGAGTTAAGAGCCGCTTCAAATGCCAGTAGTACACCACCACCCATTGACAGGTTCAATTGATTATGTTTTCTGTCCTTACGATGAACGTCAAAAGAATTGGGAAATAATTCGAGAGAGTTTACTTCGGGCTTTAGCCACGTTTCGCTTAAAGCAAATACATTATACTCACAGTCACTCACAGCAGGATAGAATTTGTTAATTTTGCTGTTTAGCCCTCTAACATTCTGATAGTACACTGTCAAAAAATCACTACATCCACTATTGGGCCGACCTAGTTTAAAGGAACAATCCTTGGTACATTGTTGATGAACTTGATCCTACAGTTATTATCTCCTGCTTCATGACGCCTGGCTAACTCAGTTCTGATACTTTTATAATGCTCCATTTGCCTTTTGGTGCGATCCTGTACGATGTTTACATGCTTGAAGGTATTACTTGATTTAAGCTTTTTCGCATTCACCAGAACCTGCAATGCTGAGTCATAGCTGTCAAGTATTACCTTGATGGGTCTAACTTTTGTGCCGCAAAACATTCCTAATCTCATCACTTTTATGTTGGTTAGCCTCACGTCAGGGACAGCTTCACGTAACAAGTTGACGACAACTGTTTTATCAGATTCATTTTGCTCACTTCTGGCTTTTTGATCAGGCTCAGTGACATTAAAGACTATTACGTTGTTTCTACGTCTTTCACGCTCTGAAATCTCAGATATGATGTCTTCCATGGAAAAACTTGAATCTGCATTTTTGGTGTTATCAGTTTTCAAATCCTTTATTTGATTACGCAAATCGATGATTAATGCCTTCAAGTCATTAATGTCTTTACCTATGGATCTACAGTCCTTACAGGTCCAATCGTACCCCTTGCTCGAATTTAAAGTACGAACCTCATTTGCGCTGATTTCCACACAGGAATGCTTGTATTTCTGCTTACAAACACAGCACGTAACAATTTGATGAGGCTCACACTGTTGATTACAGCAGCTGCAAGGGACTCTAGCTGGCATAATTATGAATTTTGTGTGCAAATGTTTGTTTTCTAAATCAACACAAGTACGCCACTGGAAAACTATTTCCACTTTGTTTCAATGAAAATTCCAGAAATTCCACCAGAGATTGTAGAGGTTAGCTTTCTTTTATTATCAAAAAAAACTGTGTTAAACTATTAAAGATGAACTAGAAAAACTTGCCCAATGCTCAGTAATTACGTGAGCGTAACTATGATACTCGCAAACAAATTTTCAATTGAGTCTCACTACCGATCTTAGAAGCTATAACGGAGCTAGTAAAACACGTATTGTTAGAAGAAAGAATGAGTAACAATGTTAACTTTATCTTTCGCGATGAGACTGATGGACGATGGCGAGTCTTCCGCACTTTTTCTTCAATGTTAAGGACTACAGCTCCTCAAAGAGTAATAGAACAACACCCACTGTCTATTATTCATTCTACTTAGGGATGCACCAAGTACTACTTTTTTTTAAAGCAGAATACCGGGTACTGGGCGGAGTAGTCGGTACAGTGATTAGCGCTGATTTATTCTAGTTACTATCAGTAATTTTAAGATTGTATTTTAGGTTTTGATTTACATTTACAAGAGCTTGAAGCACAAAAAAAAATTGTTGTGCGGCTTGGTCGATTTTAATATTCAGTCTTGCAGCTGCTAGGTATGTTTTTCACAGCTTCATATTGTTTGTTTTTCATCCCGCTTATTACAAGAGAAGCACATTTTTGAAACAATATTAACACACTAGGAAGGTAATTTTAGACATACATAACGGAACTTTCAGTCGAAAATAAATGCTGTACATTCGGAAAGTACATATTTTCTCGGACTTTTTAAATCTACAATTCTTTTTTATGATAATCGAATACGGAAAGAAATGTTATTCGTTTTTAAATCCTATCTAATCATTTTATCTTTGTTTTGTTTAATTAGTTTTTTTGTGTGTAATCGTTGGGAATTACTATCCTCTTGATGAAATTCGAAGATGAGTAATAATATATATATCTTATACATCGATTATATTATTTAAATTGTTAATTAAAGTATATTAAAGTTAGTGTTTTATTTTTTTTGTAAAGCTCTAAAGGAAATATTTTTATCCGAAACGTTGCCAACTTTATAACAGGAAACTGTGTTTGTTGTACTCCACATTGAATTACAAGATAATTATATAAAAAGGGTCACTAAAAGAATAATTTTCTAAACAAATTAATGCTGCTTCTGATCATTACATTGGCATTGGTTAACGTATTCTACTTGAAATAGTCAATCATATACTGTATTTCAGCTTTCAAAAAGGGATTTAAATGTGAGACATAGCAAACCACAAAATGATTTTGAAACCGTCTTTGAAAAGAGTTAAAGTGTTCGGTTCTGCTACTGTCCCATAGGTGGCACTAGGACCTTCAATACCGTCTTAGCGCATCTCTAATGCCTATTTTAATTGGGTACCTTCAGTCGGAAAACGTTATTCAATGCCATATTGTGAAAATTACAATATATGTAGTATTCATCTGTCTTCCAATCAGGTGACAGTTCATCTTTATTCCTTTTCTTCGACATACAGTGTGTTGCAACAACATCCTGAACAGTCCTGTACTACGCCTAGATCGCGGGAAGCCATCTGTATCCATCTTAATTTTAACATGGCACCCTGCAAAACCAGAAATCCTTGGTTCTCCTACTGTCTCGTAGATGGTGCTGCAATGTTCATTCCCATTTTGACTCATCTCGAATGCCTACTATAATTGAGAATCCTCAGGTGGAATAAGTTAATCCATGGCAACAGGTATCTTTAAAGAAATGAAGGAAACTTGTAATTCATCTTGCCTTTCGACATATATTGCATTTAGCGTGCTTTGTGTTTTTTTATTTTGAGTATTCAAAAGAAAGATAAAAGAAAATATAAAAATGGAAAAAGGCAATGAATTATAGTTTAAATGGATACAGAGGCTTCCTCATGTTTTTTACAAAAAAAAAACGTAGTAACACGCTGTATGTAAAAAATAAGCTATAAAAATACTACAAACTCATAAGCTTAGTGCAGAAGATGGTCTAGATTTACAAACAAAGATCATCCAAATCAAGTGACTGGCAACGGGTATTATGTAAAAACCTATAAAACGTCAAAAAACCCAATAAGATGTCATCTTGCAGACTACGTAGTTTTTAGGGTGCAAACAGTCATTCCACGTTTGCTCACTAGGATCGTTGTGAGTGTCCATCTATGGAGAAATGGTTTAACTACACGTGTACACGCATTGTTGGTTGCATATGTTCTATGAAGCAGAGTGGTCTATAGTTTTCGTCTCTGAGAAAAAAGTTGGTTATTTGGTTGAATAGCAAGATCGCATCTGGATGACTGTGTGTATTGGTCTGCATGTGTATAAAATCAGTGATATTTGCTATGTGAACAAAATATTACTGAATATGCTGCCAATGAAGTATATCTATTAGCTGTGCCCGAAGAGTTATTTATGTTGTCTTTTGGGAAAACCGATTATGTTGAAAGTTATCAATTACGATTTTTCAGGTTTTCTGTGTTTTCAAAAACTTTGAGGAGAATTACGGGAAATTATATATATATATATATATATACTATATATATATATATATATACTATATATATTGTGTGTAATTACTGTTAGCATGTATATGACTTTTTTCTTATATCTCATTTTTGAAATCCAGCAAATTTGCATATGTAATTTCCAAAATGAATAAGAAAAAGTGGATGCGCAACTAATTTCTAGCTTTGAATCTCAAGTAAGTGTATTTGAGACAAGAATCCAATGGAATTATCATCACACAAATCCTCACTATGCACCTATGCATTGCCATTACATCATATCAGAGCCAACCATTGATAGCTGAAGCCTCATAATGTGTAGGCAACACGTACAATTACAAAACGAGTTCACAACATGTCCATCAGCTAGTGCTAAGTTAACATCTTGTAGAAAAACCTACATAATGTCACAAGAAACCAATATAAAATCGGCATAAGGTCACTTTTCAAGATACGTAATACCAGTGCCGCATATTGATATGCTTAACTAATTTTTAGATAGTGTATTCATTTATTATATATATTAGAAAGGTGGGCAAAAAGACATTATATACTTAGTGCGTTCAGGCCGAGTAATATTCGGGCGAGTAATTAAATTGTAATACTCTGCAAAACCGGGTACTTGATAAAATGCTCCGAATACCGGGTAAAAACAAAGTACTCGGTGCATCCCAAAATTCTACCCTTTCATGTCAAGAATTGAGATCCTGGACTTCATCACGTTTTGACGTCTATTGACTAGCGTTATCCAATTCTAGCTTTCCAAGTTAACCCCTCATTCCACAGACAGGCCACATCCTCTATGACACCCTGTATTCTTACCTGTCGTTCCTGCTTCTCCATGGATATACCTAGACACCCGGACCAATGGTGTTGGCAAATATCCCCCGCACAAGGGCATGACGTCTAAAGTAACTTCCCCTGCTCTTTCCTCAGCACCATCACCGAAAGTTACGACACCTGCAGTACGGCCACAAACTGCCCAAACACCGTTTTCTGCTAGAACTTCATACATTACGGACCTATAATAATAAACGAAAATTATTAAAATCGCATAGCACATACATCCACATTTCAATTATTCCCCAGTATTCGGTACTAATTTGTTGTTCAGCGCCAACTCTTACTAAATACGTGTATGAGAATACTATTAAATTGCCATAAGTATACGCCACTCGAAGTCATGAGTAATTTTTTAACGAGGCAAACTTGATTCCATTATATAAAATTATAATAAGTAATAAAGCGCCAACTTATTTTAGAAAATTTATGTTGAAACAATCTGGTATGTTATCATTCCTTCTAATAATATAAATAAGACAGCACGAATGTTAGTTACCAATCACGCCAAATGCTGGATGTTTGGTACAGAGATTATATTATACTACGTTTTAAACCGGAAAATAACCTTTATATATACGAGTATATATGTATATATTATTTTTGAAGGAGAGAAAATACTATGACAATCAAGGAAACCTTAAAGGCGTCCTACAATTGTAGGATGGACTGACGATACGGCACTTAGTCTAATAATTTTGTGATAGAAAATCATACTTGACTCTCCATCTCGTTGAAGGCCATTTCTTATAATTTCTGGCGACCGTAAATACGAGAGCTGAAGGTGACTTGGTGCTATTTTCGGTGCTCTTGCGTAGGAATTCAGCGCGCCACTACCCGATTTTGCAAGATAGTCTCACACGCAGTGAATGCGAATTTATAGGGTGGGTGGGGTTTTTCTTAGAAATCGGCCACTCTTGGTGTTTTTTTTTGTCGGAGCGTCTTGGGGATTTAGCCGTGGACATAACAACACTTAACCATCGAGCTGGTAAGTGACCATTTTCTACAAACTACGTGTTCATTTCCAAAACATGATTTCTAATTCTATAGAGGAAACCGTCTGCAGGGATAATTCGAGGCGAATTTAAGTAGGACTCACGCCTGTGAGGAGCAGTTCTTCATTTTTGTGAACCCTCATTGTTCGAGGTATAAATTGAAAACGCGACCACTTTGTTCAAAAATTTAGCATAAAACTATCAGTAATTATATTTGTGCCAGTTTAGGCGTTCTTATGTAACATTAGGGTTATATGTTAACCATTTAATTATCCATTGTTTAGGTCAATATTGAATTCGTCAAAAGCTATTAATTCATCAACTTATTTAGGCAGTAAAAAGAGAGAAATACTATGGATTTCTCATTGGTAACATTTATATATCGTTCTGTATCATAGTGCATACGCTGAGAATAATATAGTGTTATTTTTATATTTCTGCAACTTCTGATGTTGGTTGTATATTTACTGAAATTTGAGTGAGCCATGCTCAAGAGGTAAAATATTCCTGTTGTTCTCAAGTAACATTTTAATTGCTTTAGGCAGGCAGCAGCGGTGGCCGCAGTAGTAGACTCTTCGGTCTCCTGATCAGTCGCCATGCGCTGTGCGGGTTCGAGTCCCGTCCCAGGAGAAATTTTTCTCTTGGCTATGGATGTTGTGATTGTCCGTAGGTGGCAGATGGTCTCTGACTGTCGAACGCGGAGGTACCACCCGGCGGTTCTCGTAGGCGGAGCCAGAATGTGTGCATGTTGCATGTACACGTGTTCCCTCGCCAGAGTCCGTGTGCCCCCCCCCCCATTCGCATGTATCCCCCTATAGCCCCACGGTACCCAATGGGTGCTTAGGCCTTAGGCCTTCGTGGTAGTTGGAGTATATAAAAAAAAACTTATTAGTTGAGTGACGACATGAAATATTTGTATATATCCTTATGTTTTTTATACAGGTATCTGATTATTTTAATTTAGTTCAGGGTAATTTAAAAATTTGGGTATTGCTAGTGCAAACACGATTTTCCTTGTACACCGTGATTGAACGGCAGCTTTGTTTTAATTCAAAATTTTTGACTTGATGTAACCTAGACTAAATGGTTCCATTTTAATCTTAAATGTTTAATTCTTGGCAGCAAATTAAGTGGGGGGATTATTAGTCAAATCGTTATTTCGGGTTATTTTAACAAGTAATTTAATCTATTTAAGGTTCTACCTTCAGGTATAGAGTTACATCTGCCAAGGTGTTTTTTCTTTTTTATTTCAATATTTATTGGAAATCATTTAGCTAGGTTTGTGTACCTAGTGAGTTTGTATCTCCCTTAGCGCCAGAATCCCAACATTGGTTACTTGTTATTTCTTTTCCTAGTGCTTGGAACTAGGTGGTGCTCAAACCATAACCATTTGCATCTAAAAACCAGGGTACAAATAACCTCACCCTGGCGGGATTCATATCTACCAAATGAGCACAGTTTTCGTGGGATCACAACACTTGTGATTATGCAGAATCAACCTTGAATATACCTGAATACAACCAACCATATACTGTATTCTGGCGATCTGAATTATCCTAGCGCTATCTGAGAAACAGAAGCAGAACCCAAAAATTAATTCAGAAATTGAACAGAGTGCTTGGTCTGCTATTGCCTCATAGATGCCGCTGGGATCTCCAATCACTTTTTGGCACCTCTATAATACCTACTTTAATTAGCTATCTTCAGACATTCATTAATGTAATTCACCATTAAAATATGTATTTTAGATAATAAAAAAAGGATTGAAGATCCTAACGCCATTCATGATACAGTAGCAGATACAAACACTCCAACTCTTTTTTTAGTAGATTTTTGAATTAATTTTTGTGTTCTACCTCTGTTTCATAGATGGTGCTGGTATATTGTATATGTATAGAGTATGTGGCATCTTCAGGTTCAATATGTTAATCCATGGTCAAAGGCACAAAACCACATTGGTCAAGCTGCAAAGGGAGAATCATATCCTTTGGTGATTTGATAACTTTCAGATATAGTTTTAATCACCTTACTATGAAAAAGAGTGGTAATTTAGGGTCAGAACGTTTTTGAAACAAGTGGAGAAGTTTGGTAAACTCGATAACTATAAAGGGCAGATTTTCTTATGAATTAAATTATCAATACTCACTGTGTAACAGGGAGGTGTTCAGCAGCTGGTGAAATTGTAAGGTGTAAGTGACACACTGCGCCAGCCCGACAAAATTCATTTCCTTTCAAAGGAGTTACGTTGGTATCCAGTATATATAAAGTCTGAAAATGAGAAGCTAGTTTTACCTATGCAAAGCAGAATAAAACTCCAAGAAAAAAACAATTTAGAGTTTGAAAAGTTTCCTTCTTACCTGGTAATCATTGATATCAAAAAAATATCGAAACAGTTTATTGTCGTCGTCTTTATCATCTAACTTGTACTTGACGGAAAATTCTACTTTCAACGTAGGCAGATCAGCGCCTAACTGTCTCTTAAATACTATCTCCCACATGTAGGAGTAACTTAAACCATTAGGAATAATCTGAAAAAAAAGAAACGCTTTATTAGAAGTAAAAAGAAGTCTTAAAAAAAAGTTGGTCTCAAAAAATAAAAAATCTACAAGCTATTCAAAATATGTCCTGTATGCCACGAAGAGAAACTCTACTATCATTTCCAAATGACAAACGAGGCATTCTCTCTATAAGTTTCTGTACCGGGTGACCCAATAATAAAGGAAGCCATATATAGGTCTCTCAGATCTCAGCAACAGCTTAACCTAGAGCCATTCGTTAGAAAAAGTCATAACAGAAGTGGTCAAGAGAAATTGCTGAAAATTATTTTCAGCTTCTTAAAAAGGCTGCTAGGGGGCGGGGTATTTACAATTTCAAAAATCAATCGCCATTATTTTGCAAAAATGCGTAATCAACCTACTGATTTAGTAACTCTATTATGTTTATTGCTCAATTTTCGATGTCATTTTTCCACATATTGTTTCTTTTAGGGTGGGGGAAGGGTTGAATATCATTTCAGAAAAAGTAATATAATTTCTGTTTCGCTGCACTGATTTTCACAATCTTGGTTTCATTGGAAAGGGCTTGCCCGCCCCCGCGCTCATACTCAAGGCTCAATTTTATCAAACTGGTGGCTAGATAGCGTTTTATGGATATCATTATTGTTCAACATTTTTTCGACAACTTTGAATACAACGGTATACTCTTTTGACAGTGGTATTATAATGTTAAAACGGTGAATTAAAATGGTGAAAACCGCAGATCAATATTTTTATTCGTTGCGGAAATATATTGAAAAATACGCTTAAATTACAATTTTCAATTACTACTTGATAAAAAGAAAAATGCAAGCTATGAGTAGTTATGTAAATTGTATCAATATGATACTATTTCAAGATATTTTATTAGGAAATTTATTTTCCGCTTTTTATAACCGATAGATCTCGCAAGTGTCGCCTGATATATCTAGAAATCGAATCATATTGATAAATTTTACATTACGATTCATACCTTCATTTTTTCTTTTTATCCAGTAGTACTTGAAATAGCATATTTTTCATTATTTGTTCGTTTGTCTGTTGATTAATTTAGCATGAATGTTACAAAGTCAATTTTGTATAATTATTCGCTTACACATTTTTCTGCAATCCATTTTCTGTAATTTTACATTCTTGTCTATTAAAATTACATTTTTTTTTTATATTCCAACTACCACGAAGGCCTAAGGCCTAAGCACCCATTGGGTACCGTGGGGCTATAGGGGGATACATGGGAAAGGGGGGACGCCACACGGACTCTGGCGAGGGAACACGTGTGCATGCAACATGCACACATTCTGGCTCCGCCTACGAGAACCGCCGGGTGGTACCTCCGCGTTCGACAGTCAGAGACCATCTACCACCTACGGACAATCACAACATCCATAGCCAAGAGAAAAATTTCTCCTGGGACGGGACTCGAACCCGCACAGCGCACGGCGACTGATCAGGAGACCGAAGACTCTACTACTGCGGCCACCGCTGCTGCCTATGGACATCTATGGATTTTGAGTATTCATAAAGAGATTTTTTAATTTCACCTTAAACATTTTTAAATTTGGACATAATATCATTATTCAATTTGTTACATCCAAATAGTTTCTTTTGAAATACAGACTTGCTAGTTATGCTACTATTATACAATTTTCCAGATGGAAATCTATACTGCCTCTAGTTTCATAGTTATAATAATGACTATTTAATTTTGTGAAGTTTTCTGAATGTGGTGGTAATAAATGATTTTTTAATTTCACTATGAAAATGAGAACTAAATAACAAATGAAAATTTTCACATTCAACTACTGTTGTGCTTCTAACATAGACTTAATCCAAGCATATTTGTTTTTATTTAAAATAATTCTCGTAGCTTTATTTTGTAGAGTTTGTAATTTTGAAAATATATTTTCATTTGCTGTAAGCAAGATGGTTGAACGATATAAAAAATGGCGAGGAATTATAGTGCTATATACATTTTTTTTTTGAATACATACTAAGATTATGGGAATAATGTAATCATAATGCTCGTGAAACAGTAGTTTACACATATATAGACAGATATTAAAATGAATCGATGACTTGAATTTTTTCATCATTAATCATGAGCCTAATTGTATTGACACCCAAATGCTTTCCTATTGACATACATTTTGTTTTATTAGTGCTTAATTTAAGTTTATTAATATTTAACCAATTCATATTTTTTTTAATATCACTATTTATCAGTTCTACAGCAATGTCCAAATGGTTATGTGTTATATATGTATATCAATGTATCGTCCACAAATTTGCAGTGTTCTAAAATGTCAGATACATCATTTATATAAATAATAAATAGTAACAGCCCTAATTTACTCCACCATGGCACCCCTACTGATATATTTTGAATGCCTGACATAATATTTCTAACTTTTGTCTTATGACTTCTATTTACTCAATAATTTTTAAAAATTTTTAATACTGATACTTTAACACCATAGTGATGGAATTTCATTAACAATTTTTCCCTAACTCTAGTTTCAAATGCCCTTTTGAAGTTTAAAAATACTGTTACAATAAATTCTTTATCATATTTATCTTCAGGCTTCCACCACCATAACAGATTTTAAAGTAAAAAAAATAGTCACATGTCAATAAAACGTTAACTAGAGGCCACAAAGTGAACTAATTTGACAAGAATGAGACTCTTTCGAATGAAAGCAAGATCGTGAAAATCGGTGCAGCTTAACAGAAGTTATATTAATTTTTCTGAAATGAACCCCCCCCCCTAAATGAAACAAAATATGAAAAGATGACATTTACATAAAAATCCGAAAATTCAGCAATCAACATAATAGAGTTTTTAAATCAGTACGTTGGTTACGCATTTTTTGCAAAATAATGGCGTTTGAATATTTGAAATTAGGAAGATGAAAATAATTTCCAGCAATTTCGCTTGGCCACTTTTGTTCTGACATTTTTTAACCGGTGGCTCTAGGTTAAGACGTTGCAGAGATGTAGCCAGCACCCTTTATTATTGGGTCACCCGGTACATTTAGCGCCAAATATATACAAATAAAACATTTCTGCGCTGTAGAGACTTAAGAGAGCACTTACTTGACTAGATTCACAGTTCCTTGCAACAATATCACATGTCTCTCCTGCTACACTGAGCACAGCGTCTTCCGCTATTAAGTCTTTCTCACACTGGCCTACAACTGTAACTTGAACAAACTTTCTCAACTCTACTGTTTGCAACTTCCACGTTGCGGCTAGCGGTGGCGTAAATGTCAGGTTAACTACTATTGGTTTCGCCGACCATGGACAATGTATCGTTACCTAAAAGAAAAAAATACGTTTCTAAAAAATGTACTTCGTAAATTGGCGATCTACATGCTCTTCTAGCGGATAAAGTAAGACCAAACAGAAGTTATGTCGAGTGAAGGCTGATATTGATTACACAAGGTGATTTAATTAGACAGAGATAATCCTTTTAGGATGCTCTTCACTTGAAAGCATTTTTCGGTCAAATTCACTTTTGTTTGGAGATTTATTTAGGGGGGATATTTATCATCGGCTTGATATCTACGAAATACTGGCAGCAGAGGCGTATTGGTAAACGTTATGGGTACACTAATCAGTCGCCGTGCGCTGCGCATGGCTATGGGTGTTGTGATTGTGCGTAGGTGGTAGACGGTCTCCGACCACCCGGCGGATCTCTAAGGCGGGACCAAAATGTGCGCATGTTGCATGAACACGTGTTCCCTCGCTAGAGTGCGTGTGGCGTCTCCCGCCTTTTCTCTACATTGCCTACAGCTCCATTGTATCCATGAGTGTTTAGGCCTTAGGACCTCGTGGTGGCTCAAGTACAAAAAGAAATATTCGTTCAATTAAGTGAGTGCTCTCTGCGTCTTGTAAACAGAAATAATTCTATAATAATGTAAGTTATCACATAGCTATTTAACTTTTAGGCCCCTACGTGAAATATCACACGATTTATCTTAGTAGCTTTTAGACAGCAAATTCAAATTTTCTAACACCAAATTGCTTATTCGACCAATCGTCGGTGTATAAGATATGATTACTAGTTATCTAGACCTGGCCTGGCCTTAAGACGACATGTTTACTAATTATGACTTCCTGATGTAACCACCAAAAAGTCAGTTTGGCGACACCACCTTGGTACTTGCAGAGTTAGGTATAAGTGAAACGCGCGGATTCCTGTCAGAATATCGAGCCATCTATGAGCGAATCACCAAAGCATATATGGCATTTTTTTAGATAAACCTGTAATAGTTCAAGAGCCGACCTTAAAGTTTTGATTACATCGCGTACTGATATGATACGTTAAAAACTAGAAGAACCGTACGTTTTTGATGATGCTAAACAATTTGTCGTTCGGCATCAAAATACGGTTCAACTAGTTAAACGATGGTGTAACAAAAAAATTGCGGTCAGCTCCACTACTATAATGTAGAAGAAACCCAGGGTCGATGGAGCCTACCGGTGGATTAAAAAGACATCCCACAAAGTGTCTTTACTTGATATAACTAATCTTTGACACGACCCTAAACTACAGAATAGGGAAGAGATTTCCGGAAAATTAGAATCTGACCGAAAAACCGGGACCGCAATACTTTGTCTCAGTTCTTTTCTCACTTTCGGAGTGGACTTATTAATAAAAATATGAATTTGAATTACGTTTAAATCCTCAATTGTAGTTGGCATCATATCGCCTATTTTGCGGGGGTTAGAGTATGTCCATAACGACACATCGCACTTAGTATTATACTAGAGTATCGTTCCATAGTATCGCCCCTGCCTCGCAAATAGCATTGCCCCTCGGTGTCCATAGTGGTGCACCGCACCTAGTACTTATTTCAATTTCAACTACTGAGCAATAAGCATCCAAACATGAATTCGCCTTCAGATGAAGATAATATCTTGCTTAATTCTAGTTTAAGAAAGTCGTACTTCACTAAAAATAGAGGAAAGAAGACATTGCATCCTTTGAATAAAAAACGAAGTCACTTTGGTAAATTCCATCATCTTTTCAATGACCTTATAAATGATATTAAGCGTTTCTTTGAGTATATGCGAATGAGCATTGATACATTCGATTATATTATAAACATTTACTTGTTTTGTCCCAAAAAGCCTGTCTTACAAATACACTGTTTATTAATTTTTCCTTGTTCATGATCAGCGACAACGTAATAAATAAATATAAATAAATACTAAGCTCGATTTCGCTGTGCGAAGCTTTGGTGCGAGGCGCGGTGCGCCGTTATGGCCGCAGACTAAGGACTTACTAGTTTGTTGAAGATGAATCTATGGTTAAGAATATTGTTTCTTATGATAAAGAAGTGAAACCAGATGGTGTTTCTTTACATATAAAACGGACCAAATAGTCCAAAAATTTGATATGGCATTGGAATTAACCCGGGTAGGTAGGTTTAAACCGTCATTTAAACCAGGTTTTTTTGTAATTTGTAAATGTTTTCCACCAACAAGAATCAAAATTAAATTTTCGTTCAGTTTAATCAGCTGTTGCCAAAAACACCTCACGATTATAGTCCCTTGAATGCACCATTTTTACACGATTTAGTGACCTTAGCTCAAGTCCAAAAGTGACGACAAATGAGTGATGAAGAAGCAAAAAAAAGGGATTGATACAGCGAAAATGACAAAATTATCAATATCATTGACTGACTAAACACCATACAAGCATCTTCAGCAGGTGTAGAAAGATTTTTTCTTCTTTTAGCTTAATACAAAGTAAGCTACATAATCGGATAGGTACTGAAAAGGCCTCCAAATTGATTTTATATATAAAATATTTGATACATCTTCAAATAATTAATATGTAGTAGTAGTAGAAAGATTTATTTAGCACATTTGGCTACATAAACAGAATAATTGTAAACAACTTAGAACTAGTAAATTCAAGCCATATGGTGTATGATGTAAATGCTGGGCAACCTATAATTGTAGATTTAACAAGTGATTTCTCAATTTTACTTTAAATTTTGTCAAAGTTTTCTGGTCTTTTATCTCCGAGTATAATTTATTATATTCAATCAACCCTTGATGGAATACAGATTTGTAGCATATGTTATACTTTTTGGTCATTAAATGGAAGTTATCTTTATTTCTGGTATTATGTAAATGATGTTCGACATTTGATGATGTTAAATTAGTTAGACTTGATGGAAATATGTTATTTTTTACTTTATAAATGAATATCATTACAAGAAATTTGATATTTTTTTTACATTGAGCCATTTTAATTTGCTAAGCATTTGCCTAATTTATTTAGTATTATTCTCATGCACTTATTTTGTAAAATTTGCAGTCTTTCAAAAATGGAATTATTTGCTAAATATAGAATAGTCGAACAGTACAAGAAATTTGGAAGAATGATGGTATTATAGATAATTTTTCTGCTATATGAACTCAGACATCCAGAAACTCTCGATAAATATCCCACTTTACTACTAATCTTATTTATAACTTTTTCATAATGAATATCAAAAATTAATCGAAAGTCAACAAAAACCCCCAGGTATTTAAAATTTTCTACGAATTCAATATCTTCACCATCAATATTCAGTTGAACATTTGTACATTGTTTTTTTCCGATTAACAAGGCTTTCGTTTTACTTTAATTTTAGTCTGTTAGATGCTAACCATTTCGAGACAAGCTTCAAGTCTTCATTTATATAAGAGATACCAGACTGAATATTTTTAGTACTTATATAAATCATAGTGTCATCGGTGAAAATTTGAATTTTGCATTTTTTGACTATGGCAGGTAAATCATTTATATATAAAATAAAAAGAAGTGGTCCCAGGATACTGCCCTGTGGAACACCCAACGTATTTTCAATTTTTGATGAAATAATGTCATTAACTTTTGTAACTTGCATCCTTTTAGACAAATAATTTCTAAACGAATCTAAAACACTTTCTGTTATACCATATGCCTTCAATTTACCTTATACATATATAAAATATCTCTATCAATCGTTTCAAATGCCCTCTTCATCCAAAAATACTGCTATGACAACTTCTTCTGAGTCTATGGCTCTTCTCCAATTCTCAGTTACCAACTTGAAAGCCGATTGTGTGGAATATTTTTTCGAAAACCTGCTTGCGCCTCCACTAAAATTTTGTTTTCTTCTATAAACTGCATTAATTGGCCATGCACTATGGACTCTAATAATTTTTCAATCTCTGGTAACACATTTACTGGTCTCATATCGCTGCATCTTTTAGAATTTTTTATTTTGGGAACTGATGGTGTTATTGTAGAGCATTTCAAATTTTCTGGAAAAGAACTGCTTCTCAGTGAACAATTGATCCAATTTAATACAGGATATCCCAAAATTTCAAAACAGTTTTTCAGCACGTTTTTAGTAGTGATTTCGGCACAGTTGTTATTTGATTTTAAACTGTTTACTTTTTTTCTTAGATAATTCAGTGTTACGCTGTGCAATTTTTAAAGTGTATGCAACATTTTCACCTGGAAACTGATTTTCATATAGTCAGGTGCAGCATTGGCAGTACCCACAATATCAACAATACTTTCCACAAAATATTCATTTAGTTTGTTTGCAATCACCAAATAATTTGTTTCGGTACCGTTTTCGAATTGAACTTGATTTACACAATTATGCGGCTTCGAATTGATCTGTCTTTTTACAGTCTTCCACATCTTTACACTGTCGCACTTGTTACTATCGATTTGTTTATCGTAGAGTTTCCTTTTTTCTTCTCTAATTACATATACACATTTATTCCTAAGAGTTTTATATACCTCCCAATCATCATTTTATTTTGTGAATATACATTTATTGTATTGTTTGTCTCTCAAATTTTGAGCTGCCTTAATATTCTTGTTATACCAGGGTGTATTTTTTATCGAGCAAATCACTTTTTTATCAGTTGCAAGATCTAAACAAGTTTTTATATTTCCAATTATGTTGTCATATATTTTTTCCATATTCTCACCAAAATTCCAATAGCAGCCAGCAAGTTCTCGTTCAAGTTTTCGTACTTAATAGTATTTACGATTTTCTTAATTTTTGTATCAGAAACATGCCCTACGAAAGGCAGCATTCGAAATTTACAATAACAAGATCTAACAAAGTCTCTGATAATGATGTTATTCTGGTACTCTCTTCAATTTTTTGCTTGAACCCATAAATGTTTATGGTTTCTTTCAATTTTCTTGTTTTCATGCTTTTACCATAATAATTTAAATTAAAATCACATAAAAGTATTATATTGTTTCTAAAATTCCACATTTCTTCGCATTTTACGTTAAAAATGTATCCGCATCACTGTTTGGTGAACGGTAAAAAGTACAAAGATCATAACGTTTCCCAAATAATTTGAACTGTATATGTGCATACCAGTATGCATAGTCTAAAGTGGTACAATCGAATACTGTGATCTGTATTTTGTGGTAAACATAAATCACTACACCTCCAGTATGTCTGGAGTTGGAGTTGCATCTGTAGGTTTTATAATTAGTAATTTGTAATTCACCATCAGTGATGTCTTCTGTAGCATGTGTTTCGGTAAGACATAGTACAAGTGGTTTTCTCCATCTTAAAAACTGTCGAACTTCATCTATATTATTCAGGATTCCTTGTATGTTTAAATGGTATATTGAGTTATATTCATCACTTACAGATTTAGCCACGTCTTGCAAATCTGAGCTTAGTAGTTGCTATTCATTTGCATAACTAATTTTTTCCCTCTCACGTTCAATTTTCCTTTTATATACTTCACAATTTTTGTCAAATGGTCCATGATTAATAGGTAATCCTAGATTAAAATCCTGGTTTGCACTTTTACAATTTGGACAGCATTTCACTGGTACTACAGTTTTCTGTTGAATGTCCTTCTAATCCACAAGTAATACATCTTCCTGATTTTGTGCAGTATTTAGCTGTGTGGTTAAATCCGGTACATTTATAGCATCGCAAAACATTGATGTACTCGAAAACAGAGCAAACAGACATGTCGATAAAAATAACACCCTGATTCATAACACACTTAAAAGTCCCAGCATCCACTTCTAAAATTGCTTGATATTTAGTTTTCATTTTCTTGACTGTAATTACTCTCATATGTGAATTTTATTGAAAAGATTCATTTTGTGATTTTATAGTATTTATTAGCTCGATTTCTGCATATTCTTGACAAAATCCAATAACTTTGATTTGTGGTTTTTTACTTATCTCTGAAGTTTTCACTGTATATGTTTCTGGCATTTTTGATTTTATTTCTTTATGTAGCTTCGCGTTATCATCTTTTGTTTTACATTGGATTTTCACCCCACCATCCTTCAATTCATAAACTTTTTCAATAGCAATTTTCAAACTGGTAGGATTCACAAATTTTGCGATGTCTTTCTTTGTGTTATTACACTCTTGTTGGTTATTAGGCTTAACAATGACTATATTTGTGGGTTTTAATACTGGTGATTGTTTTTTTGCTGTACGTGTTTGCAATGGTAAGCATTGCTGCTTATATTCAACCATTGTTGTAGGCGAATTAACGGTTGAAGGCCCTGCTTTAACCATATTAGCGTAAGTTGTAATTGCTTCTTGGTCTATCTTTTCGTACAATTCTTTTATTAATTTCTCTTGAATCGAAATGGTATAATCTTTTAGTTTCAAAACTTCCTCTGTACAAAATCTCTTTTCACTCACCCTGATTCATAACACACTTAAAAGTCCCAGCATCCACTTCTAAAATTGCTTGATATTTAGTTTTCATTTTCTTGACTGTAATTACTCTCATATGTGAATTTTATTGAAAAGATTCATTTTGTGATTTTATAGTATTTATTAGCTCGATTTCTGCATATTCTTGACAAAATCCAATAACTTTGATTTGTGGTTTTTTACTTATCTCTGAAGTTTTCACTGTATATGTTTCTGGCATTTTTGATTTTATTTCTTTATGTAGCTTCGCGTTATCATCTTTTGTTTTACATTGGATTTTCACCCCACCATCCTTCAATTCATAAACTTTTTCAATAGCAATTTTCAAACTGGTAGGATTCACAAATTTTGCGATGTCTTTCTTTGTGTTATTACACTCTTGTTGGTTATTAGGCTTAACAATGACTATATTTGTGGGTTTTAATACTGGTGATTGTTTTTTTGCTGTACGTGTTTGCAATGGTAAGCATTGCTGCTTATATTCAACCATTGTTGTAGGCGAATTAACGGTTGAAGGCCCTGCTTTAACCATATTAGCGTAAGTTGTAATTGCTTCTTGGTCTATCTTTTCGTACAATTCTTTTATTAATTTCTCTTGAATCGAAATGGTATAATCTTTTAGTTTCAAAACTTCCTCTGTACAAAATCTCTTTTCACTCAGTGAGGCCACACTCTCCACTCCCTCACTAGCTCCATCCTTTTTAGAGTTTCCCTCCATATTCAAACTAAAAATTCAGGAATCTCCTAAAAACCTTTTTTTAGCTTGACCTAATTTTTGACATTAGAAGTCAAAAAAGTATTTCCAGATTTAATTTTCTGCAATCTCTTCCGTGTGGGATCTGCAGCTGCAAACAGGTGTGGCGATATATATTTTGTTAATCTTCCGGGTGATCCTTGGTTGATATTATTATGTTTGGTCTTTATCAATATGGCTGTAAGTGAATTTAAATATATTACTAATTTGTCTATTAGAGTTGATCATAAGTTTTAGTTGAACAGTTACGTTTTTCCATTCTGATTTTCGCATATGAAATCAAATAATAACGTATGTGTCTTTATATAAATGTGTTTAGTTGCGTAGGTGTCTTTATGTAAATGTGTTTAGTTGCCTTTAGACATAATCTTTATTGCTACTTCTAAGATTTTTCTTACCTGTCAAATAATGCTATCCACCTGCTACCTATGTTGTTTAACAGGTGGAAAGCTGGTCTTTTGACGGGTGGCTCAAATAAGTTATGTCTAAAAGCAACTATACACCAAATAAATCTGGCTTTGACCAAAAAAACTATTTTAAAAAAAAAACCTGGGTTTCTACCAACCCTGGAATTAGCACCACAGCAGTCTGTTTTGACTCGATTTCAGCACCAAAACTAAAAGTACTGAAGAATCGTGGTACTGCCGGTTCTTTTAACTCCGGACATTCTTCGATTCATTGCATACCTGATGATCTTTCGAGAGCATATCAGCCATGATCCTTAAGTGCCTTCTTATGCTACTGAACGGAAAATTTGGTCCTACTTCGATTTCTAAACTATTGACCAATGGGTTATCACGTTCTACTTGAACCGCAAGTCCAGGTGAGGTTGTCAGTTTTATTATGGACCTCTAGAAAATATAATACAATGTTTACTGGTTGAAATACAAAAGAACATAAATCCATTGTTTAAAATATTATTATACCTGAAGATAGCCAACTGCTTTCTCGCGTCCATACAATTATCCGAGATGAAATGAGATATGAATTACCAAAGCATCAGTATAGATTAAGTATATAACTATATATGAGTATATAGCGCCATCTACGAGACAAAATGTATTCCTAATATTTGTGGAGAGGGAAAACATAGCTGTAGCAAATTTTCATAGATGACACTACGGTATCTCATTTCAAATTGCATAATTTTTCGAGCGCGCGAATGCGGTATTAGGCTTTCTACCTTAATAATAATACATATAAATACAGTCTCCAATAAACATAAAGTAGGCAAAAAAGTAAACACGTGTCCACGGGCTTCAACGATAGTAAGAAAACTTAATTATTTCAAAATAGAACAGATTTTGAATGTATTTTGGTAAAATGTTTAAATGCCCGTTTTGATGGATATTACCACGACCAATTTATCAATGTCACTTTTGTATAATCATTCGTTTACAAATCTTTTTTTGAATCAATTTTTTGTGATTTTACATTCTACACAAAGTGATTTTTTAATTTCACCTTAAGCATTTTTAAATTCGGTGTCATAAATAATGTAAAGATATTCTCAAAAATTTGTTATATATTTTATTGTGAGGATAAGATACCATAAATAATATTTATGAAGCAAACAAAAGTAGTTTGTGGAAACCCACTATTATTAATAAATTTGGTAGAAAATAGTAAAATTGCATACATGTACTTACTGATTCAACTGAGTAACTTCCAATGGTCAATATCAAATTCATAGTTTGTTCAATGCCCGAGAGCAATGGGGCAGCTGTTTTATATAATTTGAGCGTCGGTCCCTCCTCTTTGATCTCTACCAATAATCTGGGGCTCAATGGCAACGATATCAGGTGCAGTTTTTTTATGTGTACAGCCACCTGGCCTATGAAATACTTTCCTATGCTGTCCGCTTTCTTTTTCAGTCTTATCGTGTTTAATCCTGGAGTTATCACTAAAGGCTGTATAAAGCAATTCAATATTAATCAACAACCATCTACAATTATTCCTAAGTTATAAAGTATTTTCTTGTTAATGCACAATGTTGATACAAGACACCATAAGCTTCACAGGCTAGAGCTATTCCTTTAAAACATGTAAAAACTCATATAGTGTTGTGTCTTTATGTGGTCGAAACAATACGTTTTATGAATTCCATGGGATCGAGAGGTTCTTTTAAAAACATAATTTCCAAAATTTACTCTCATAGTTCGACGGAAACTTTGAACGTTAATATAGAAAGAAAAAAAGATAAAAAGGAAAGAAACATGGATATAAAAAACTATCATAATTGTTATTGTACTTAAAAAAAGCTACCATACATATGTATATGTTATTCGATTCGACCAGACAATGGAGTATTATAAACTAATTACTAATTGAGCATTCTCACCAATTTATTAACTTCTAAACAATTACTAAAATCCCTATGAATCTGTGGCGGAACACTGTCTTTCCTCTTGAGCACAGTAAATTTCGAAGAAACCCCTGCCATCGCCAACTGTTTGTCTTGCTTGTAATCCAAAATTTTCTTCATTTTCAACCGTTGCAACCGGGGATCCTGCGTCTTCATGTCTTTGCTTGTCAATGTCCGCCCTAAGCAATATTTTTCAGACACTTTTTCTTTTTCTGTTGTAGGTTCAGGCTCTAGTGACATCATAAGGTTTGAACAGACAAATTCCCTAGGGAAATTTGAGTCTATCACTAATTCCACCTAAAAAATACCGTGATTGATTATTAAAATTAAAAACTGGGTCATGAAGAAGTAAAACAAGAATACCTAGACTACAATGTAATATGAAAATGTTCGTAACTTTTCGGGTAATGTTCTATCAGCAAAAATATTGACTTTCAGGCATAACAACGAAAAATTAAATGCATAGTAGCTTACATTTACAAATTAATATTGCCTCAATCTACGAAAATCCCTAAGTAGTGAATCCTACTTTGATTACAAATTTGGAATATAATAGTCATATGATACGATAATCATTTTTATACCTCAATAATAGTGTCCTGCATGATGGGTCCGTCATTTTTTACAGAAACATTCATTATTTTGATAATATCTCCGAATGGTATGACAACTGGCTCTTGTAATGATTCTATACATTTTCTCATTTCTTCAAAGTAACTCCACCTAGCAAGTAGAAAAACGTGTTTTTATGATGGGCATTGACATCAAACACAAAGGACCCCGCACAAAACGTATGAGAAATGGATCCCAGTCAATTTGTCTAAAAATTCAGTATGATATATTTCTCGCTATCCTGAACGAAATTTCTCACGGAGCCAAAGCAATCCCAAGATTAGTATCCGAGAAATAAAGGATAAAGTTTGTCTATTTGCAAAAATGGTGAATGCACACAACCTCGTCTTTTCCGTGCCGTTGTAAAACGAATTGTCCTCTTGGGTGAATTTTTTAATGCTCGAGCAACTAGTGCTAGATCCATTTCAGTGTCCACATATAAAAATAATCCTACTCTTTGACTTTGTAAGGGGCATAGCCGAAATCAACATAACACCTCTAAACACACCTCCCTAAAATGTTTTTAAATGAAATGCTTTTTTCAGTAAAACAACTCTTAGAATATTTGGACTGGGAACTACAATCGGCACATTCACCAGTTTTTTCTAAACCCTATTTCTCAGAAACTAATAGGGTGTGGTCCCACGAGAACTTTTATTCAGGAAAGCAAGACATATATCAATCTCAATTTTCAGACAAATCGACTGGGACCCATTTTCCATTTATGTTTTGTGCGGGGTGGGGTCCCTTTTACAAGAAATCCGTTTGTTTACTCAGGCTTTCGACATGCTCTTGTCGAATTTTCATATACACTTTCGTCGTACCAGCTCTGCAAAGTTTACTTTAATAAGTATATACGGAAATAGTTCGTTAGTTCAATAATATGGTAGTTCTAACTTTTTGGAAAATTTTCGAAATTCACCATTTTATTATACTTGAACCACCACAAGGGCCTAAGGCCTATACACCGATGGGTACCGTGGGACAATAGGGGGATATTTTCGTATATGTTGTGGCACATTATTTTCGAATTTGTCGTTTGATGAGGAAACATGTTTTGATTATGTTACAAACAAATACGGAGTGAACTGAAAAAACCGGTACGTTTGCGATTTTTGTCGCTAAGAATTTATAAAAAATATATTCTATATCCTTGCTAAAGAATATATTTTTTTATACTGAAGCAGTCGCGTAGGTAGAAACCTAAATACCAGGGCACCACGACTGCTATAAGGAAGACGCCTTGTCCAACTTTTGAACTACCCAAGGTTAGTAGAACTGCGAAAGAACTCATCAGACAGATTTTTCGATAATCTCGACACCCCAGGGACAAAGGAGCGGTCGCACCGGTCAGTTCTGGATGTACGAAGTGCGACACGGTTAGGATGGAAGGCAGAAGCCTGTCGGGTTCGTCTGGCAGGCTCAACTCGCAGAAGCATCATGAAGGAGAGCTCGGAGGAGCAAAACCCGTTGACATACCGGCACAAAAGACAGCCCTTGGATGGGAAAGGATCTCGAGACTGTCCGTTAAATGAGTGTCATCAATAAGTTTGACAGCCCTCCTCTGAACAGCATTGAGCATGTACAATGTAGTAAGGGGCCGGCACCCCAAACATGTAAGCAGTACTGCGCCTTGTACACAGTGAGGAGGATATGAGGAGAAAATAATTTTTCAGCCCTAAACAAGTAACCTAGCTTTTTCTCAGCAGCTCTTAATTGACGATTCATAAATATTTACTAGGTGTCTGGTTTTGACACCTAATTTATAAATAGGGGTATGTAACGATTTTAGAAAATACTTTTTTATTAATAATTTTCATCTACAATCTGTGCATGTGCAAAGCAAATGAAATTTAACACGACAAAGTTGATGTATGCTTTCAAAAATACTTCCAATTATTTTTCATCACGTTCACTAATATTACCACGATATGTATGAAACAAAGGACGTACGATATTTTTTAGATAATTTTATTTTGAGTCAAACCGGTGCCCTCGAAGATTTTTCTTTAGTAATCTAAAAAGATAAAAGTCAGACCGAGCCAAGTCCGGACTATAGGAGGGATGGTCTAACTCAAATCCTTCACAATTGATCTAATTTTAGCAGCCTTATGCACAGTTGCACTGTCATACAGCAGAAACACTTCTCGATTGAAAAAAATCGGATCTTTTCTGGTTTATTGACGTCCGCATCTATTGTGGTCCCTTTGGGCATATATTCAAAGATAAAGATGCCTCTGATGTCCCAGAAAACTGTTGCCATCGATTTTCCAGCTACTTGGATTCTGTTTTTGCCTTATGATCCCAATGATGGTTTCGGGGTTCCGATATATTCAATGCCATAATAATGATAGAGAACTTCACAAGACGATCTTCGACAACCATGACTTCAACGTTTCGAGACATTTTATCACTTGCTGCTGTTTTGGGTCTTCCACTTCTGTGATCGTCTTCTATAGATTCACGCCCCCAAAATTTGATTGTGAAAGTTTATGACACTACGATACTCTAATGTTGTTGCTCATTTTTTCGACGAAGATACTAGGCTTGCTTTGGTCAACTTGTGATTTCAGGTAGCCCCATAAAAAATCACACGTGAAATGAGACGTCCTGGGAATTTTTGCCGAAGAAGTTCCATCGAAGTGCGAGCTGTGTGAGATGTTGCCCCGTGTTGTCGGAACCACACTGTTCTTAGATGGACACGTCAACGTCGAAGTTCCGAAACAAAAGTTGTTCAGCATGTCGATGTAACGCTTCGAATTCGCAGTAGTTGTGCTCAATCATCCTCAAAAAAATAATGGTCAATAATCATCGTTGGGCCTACTGCACACCAAACTGTAACTTTCGGGGTATGCAGGGGGTGCTCATGCAACTGTTAGGGGTTCACTGGAGACCAATATCGACAATTTTGTTTATTGACGTATCCATGTAAATGAAAATGTGCTTAATTACTCATAAACAACGTCATGTCATTATTATCCAACTGTTCAAGCATGAGCTGTGCAAAATTAACGCGATGTGCATAATCCCCTGGCAACAGTTGTTGACAAACTTGGATGTTGTAAGGATGGAACACAAAATCCTTCTTCAAGATGCGACGTACAGAGGACGCGTGGATCCCTAGGGAACTGGCACGCAAACGGACGAAAAGATTCGGGCTTTGCAGCGGGTCAACTCTCACGCTGTCTACCTTTTTGGGGTTTCTAACACTACGCTTTCGCCCTGGCGGTTTTTTCTTCATCACATTACCTGTTGTGTTGAATGCTTCCACCCATCTCAAAATGGTGTTACGGTCTCTTACTATCCCACGACGTGGAACACGAAAGTGAACGCGAAACTCACGTTGCGTTCGAACGACAGACTCGTCATTTTGAAAGTACCGACGTACAGTGAACACACGATGCTCAACGTTCCAAACCATCTTGCCAACTGAAACGGCACTTCTCCCACTATTCAACACGCCCTTCCTCACCGACACGAGACCAGCCCACTCGATGTAGTACCCATTCGAAAAACATGCGTTCTTTCTGACGGACCCTGTAAAATGTTTCTAGCTAATCGGACAAAAAAACAATAATAACACTATAGGGACCCGGTTTTGGGCACTTTCCTTTGCACTAAACTTAGACCGTGAACCGCCAAAGTGTTACCCACCTCTCTAATGTATCAACCTCTGACGCTCCCGCTACTCTGGCCGCCTCCACCACCAACTTGGCAGGATCGCCCGCCCTTCTGTAGCACTCGGCAAGCTCGATATGCGCCTGCGCGACCAATTCCCGCCATCCGTCAGCTTCGAAGTTGCGCAGAGCATCACCCAGAAACGCAGCTGCTTTTTGAGTCTCGCCTAACAGAAGATAGAAGGATGACGCTTGCCGTCCGACTAAACGGGCGCTCCGCAGTCGACCAGTGTGTTTGTAAGTGCACATTGACAGTTCTGTCAGCTCCTAAAAATGAGTACAAGCATTGATTAACCTTTTCTACGTCAAGATAGCCGATCATATACCGAATCACGACGCGAAAAATCCTAGCGCCATCTAAGAAAAAGTAGCAGAATACAAAAATGAATTTAGAAATCTACTTTGAAAATAGTTAGAATGTTTGGCTCCGCTACTTTCATGGATAGCGCTAGGCTAGGCTGCAACACCTCGTTTGGCGGCTCTCTAATACTTATTTTGATTGAGCATTTTCAGCTATTGATTAATGTACCTTACCTGGAGATAAAAAGGGAAAATCCTAGCACCATCTATGAGTCAGTACTAGAACCAAACACTTACTCTGTTCAAAGTAGATGCCTAAATTTATTTTTCTCTTCTGCTACTGCCTTGGAGTTGGAACTAGCATCTTTCAGATCCCTTTTTGGGTGCCGGAATATGGTGTATAGTTGTCTATTTTCAGTAGGAATATATTAATCCATAGCTGTAGATACCCAATCGAAATAAGTACAATGGTATAATGGGGATTGAAAATAGCCTCCAGAAAAATTAATGCGCGGGCAAGCACTCTATGTGTAATTGTTTATATTTTTAAGCAGCTTAATGACACAATGCTCTAAATCTTTGTGTGACATACATACCAAATACGTCTTGTTGAAGACATCCTGTGAGCACAGTGCTTCCTTTAATTTATCAGTAGGAGAAGGATGATTTGGTGGTCCAGGATTATCACCCATTCCAGATGATAACAGTACAACTATGTGTAACTGTTCTGAAGTTGGTGTACCTCCCGGTAGCAGACCACATAATTCACCCAAGCATCGGAGCTAAAAATAAAACAAACTATTTTTCCATACAAAGTATCATCTTCAAAGACTCAAAATTTACTTAGCAATAAATTAGTATTTTACAGATTACTTCCTTTATATTTTGATAAAATCACATACAGTAGCGGACAAAAGTATGGAAACATTCTTAATAATTTTTAAAAAAGTGTGCTAATTTTTTATTTTTTATCATTAAGGACTTTTTTTCTACTTTAGTTTGCTTACAGTTTTGAGGATACAAATGACAATTAGTGTTTGCTGTGGTACTACAGACTAGCATTAAAATACCTTCAAATTATTTTAACTCTACAAAAAGATTTAAAAAACACTGTTTAGATAATATTTGGTAGCATAGCCTTTAGCATTCAACACTGCCTGCTGCTCATAGAAGACACCAATTTTTTACAGACGTCTGTTGGGATTTTTGCCAATTATTTTTTACATAATCAAATAAATCGTTCATATTTTTGAAAGTTTTTCTTGTCAGTCGTCTTTTAACATACTCCCAGAGATGTTCTATAGGGCTTAGGTCCGGGGATTGCGAACGCCATGTAAGAACATTAACATTTTTCAGTCTTAACCAGTCCTTTACGGATTTTGAGGTATGCTTGTGGTCATTATCTTGCTGGAATGTCCATCATAAACGCATTTCTTCTTCAGCAAAAGGGAGAATATATAAAACTAAGAATATCTTTGTAAAGTTTTTGATCCATTTTCCCAATAATTTCAAAAATTGGAACCGTTCCAGAACCAGAAAAACAGCCCCAAACCATGATGTTGCTTCCACCATGCTTAACTGTTGGCAACTGATACTTTTTGTCAAATATTTTTCGTATTGGACGTCTAACATATGCCGTACTGTCAGATCCAAACAAGTTAAATTTGCTTTCATCACACCATAAAACTGTATTCCATTGTTGTTCTGTCCAAGTTAGAAGAGTTTTAGCAAATTCAAGCCGAGAAATACGATTTTTTTTTAAATGAGAGGCTTTTGCGCTATACGCCTACCAAAATGCCCAAAATCTACCAAGCGCCTCTGCACTGTTCTGACAGAAAGATTCTCGGCACCCTCTTCTACGATTCTTTTGAAAATCTGTGTGGTTGGCATTCAAGGATCTTCATGGGACAAACGTTTAATGTAGCGATCCAAGATATAATCGGCTTTTTTCGCACCTGGGCCGCGTTGCTGCTAATCCGATTCTTGATATTTACTAATAATTTTCGAAATCGTCCCTTTGTTAATTTTTAATCTTTGAGAAATGTCAAAATTTCTGAAACCACTTCTAAATAATTCAAATACTATCTCTTAAATCTTTTTAAAATTGTTTTACCTTTGCCACTCTCACTGATGTTAATATTTACCGCATGCAATATCAGAGTATCGCAGAACAAATAAATACGGCAAAACTGAAATGTTTCCATACTTTTGTCGTTACGAAAACTGTTGTATCTGAAAAAACGCGTTTTTATTTTCAGAGAATTTGAATATTGATAAGATGAACCTTGTATTAGTACGGAAGTCAAAGGTAGACTTTAATATTTATATTACCTGTTCCTTCACAATTTTATTTAGGTATATGAAATACTTCATAATAATTTTAATATTTGTTTCCAAACTTTTGTCCGCTACAGTATGTGCAAATAGAAAGTTAACGGGTGGGCCATCTATCGGTTTCGATTTGAACCAAGTGTTAATTTGACGCTGACAATACTTATGTCAATCTGATTTGTCATAAAATTCAGTATATTATCTCCGCTGAACGAAATGAATCGATTTACGCTTGAGCAACGTTGGGTAATATTGGAAATTTATTTCCAAAACAAAGACAATTGGGCAGAAATTGCACGAAAATGCCGTTCAAAATTCGGTCGCAACGAAGCACCAACAGCGCCCGGTATACGCAAGTTTATTAATAAAGTGCGTGAAACTGGTTTCATTGTTGATGCTCCAACACGTCAGCGTGCTCGTACAGTGCGTACACCCGAAGGTATCGATGCTGTGGCTGCGAGTGTGCGTGAAAATCCATCAACGTCAACACGTCATCGTTCCCAAGAATTGAACATTTCCCGCACCAGTTTACGACGAATTTTGCGGAAAGATCTCGGTATGACGCCTTACAAAGTTCAATTGGTTCAAGAGTTGAAGCCGCGTGACCATCCACTTCGTTCTGCCTTCGCTACATGGGCCAACGAGCAACTAATCAATGATGTCGATTTTGCGAAAAAAATAATCTTTTCAGACGAAGCTCATTTTCATATTGGTGGCTACGTCAATAAGCAAAATTGCCGTATCTGGGGCTCGGAAAACCCACACGAGGTCTTAGAGAAGCCAATGCATCCCTTGCGAGTGACTGTTTGGTGTGGATTGTGGAGCGGAGGCATCATTGGCCCATATTTCTTTGAAGACGGGGACGGCGCAACCGTTTCTGTCAATGGAAACACCTATCGCACCATGATAACTGATTTTTTTGTTCCTGCTCTTGATGGTATTGATGTGGAGAATGTTTGGTTTCAGCAGGATGGTGCAACTTGTCACACATCGCATGCCACAATCAACTTATTGCGCGAAACCTTCGATGGCCGTTTAATCAGTCGAAATAGTGATGTCAATTGGCCGCCAAGAAGCTGCGATTTGACACCATTGGACTATTTCCTGTGGGGCGCTGTTAAAGACAAGTGTTATGTCGACCATCCAGAGACAATTGACCATTTGAAGGCCAACATTCGTGATGCCATTGACGAGATACGGCCCCAAACACTCGAAAAAGTGCTCGAAAATTGGTCCGATCGAATGGGCTACTGTGAGGCCAGCCGCGGCAGCCATTTGAATGAAGTAATATTTCATTTCTGAGCGGAACAATTGTACTTCAAAACAAAAAAATAAATTTGGCAATATCTCAAACCGTTTTTGTTTTATTTTATTTTTAAATCGAAACTTTTAAATGGCCCACCCATTACAATAATCATATAAAAGAAGTTGGACAAAATTAATTTTGTAAGCTCAACAAACCTTATGAAATTTTCACGAAATTCTTGGAACCATTTCAGTTCTTTTGTCGAAATGTCAAAAACAATCTCGCGATTGTTTGTCTTTCACGCATTCATATCAAAATTCATCCATCCATACATCCATTTTTTCCTCAAGACATTCATTTCTACTTCTTTGGAAACTTGATGTTTGAATACAAGATACATTTCAAGCACAAACCTTTTGACTAGCATACTCCCAAAGACCAGCAGTATGGAATGAAAAATCCTCAGCCTCATCAGCATGATTAAACTTGTCACAAGTCTGCAATACTTCCATAGCAGCAAGAAAAAGCCAGCAAGCCAAAGCACCTTCTGGAGATGACACTTCAAGGATTGACATTTCTCTGGTGCATGTGTGAAGGAATGGTAGGCAACGAGATGCCATCTAGAAGTAAATGGTTTTCATGAAATCTAATAAGATCTATGAAATCATACGCCATACCACCAGAAAGACCACTTCGAGAGTGTATTGCACCAGTCACTTGGAGCTATAATGATTTGAGTTCGCGTTTGATAACCCAACCACCACTGTGACCGCAGATGTAGTCTAATTGCCATTGAACAAACTATACATGCTGCTTTCGTACGTCCGACCAAAGACAGCCAACCATGGACAGCTATTTCGTGTTTTTTTGGCATTTCATCTGCTTGGCCTAGGCTTGGTCTGTGGGACAATGACCGAAGGTTTAGCAACTATCCGCTATATGAGATTATCTAAATAAGCAGCATGTTTAGTTTGTTCAATAAGAAGTAGACCACATCCTCAGCCTCTAGTGGTCACAATAGTGACTGGACTATCAAACACGCTCTGAGGTCTTTACAGCTCCAACCAATGGCCGTTATATATAATTCGCAGTGGACGATTCTGGTAAAATAGATAACGCTTGGAGCAGTCTTATTTTGATAGATTTCATGTCTCTGATGGAGAACAGTTGCTATCGTTTGTTCATTGTCCCAGAAACCAAGCTGATTAGCTGTCAAAAAGCACGAAACAGCTGTCCATGGTTGGCTGTCTGTGGTCTAACGAACGGAAGCTTACGAGAATTTCACGCAACACACCAAGTATTTTGGACACTTCCAGTCAAGAGTCTTTATAGCATGAAAACCATCAATTTTGAAGTAGGCCTTATTGGATATTGTTTTTAAATAAAACAAAAACAACAACAAAAGACATGGTTGTTTATATTATCAGAATGTAGTATGCGAGTGTTTTAAAAAAAATGTTTTCTAAATAAAACTTCCAGTAACCATTTGGTATCATTGTGGCTGTATTTCTCCAATGACTTGAGAAACATTTTTCCTCCGGCAATTAATTTCCTTCAAATGTACCAATTGAGACACAATTTCCAAAAGTATTTTATTGTTTGAACAATAGTAAGATTCTTATTAGAAAGATAAACATTTAATTTTTTTATATCTTACTTACTTCCCAGACCTTATTTAGCAGCAACAACATATGAGCTTGTTTGGCAAACAAATATGCCCTCAATTCCAAAATAGAAGGACTTTTTGCCAAGTGAGACTGGCCCAGCTTTAAGCCATGCCACCTGTCTAGAGGCTTTTGGAAATTGCTTAACCAGGCAGCAGAGTTGCTGGAAACTCCATTTGCGACAAATTGAGAAAACAGGACATCTAGTTCGTCATACTGTACTAAGGCCTCATCATACAGACCTAACATTTCCAGGACTTGAGCCAACTCTTCCTGGAAAAAAGATAGATAAAGTGAATTCGTTTTTTCCATTGCATATCAGGTGACATAATTTCATGTCAATAATTTTTAGGCTGAGAGCAAATGAAAACCATACAGTACTTTCCCCCTTAATTGAACGAGATGAGAAAGTGTGGTTATTTGTTCCTCGATCACGCCGCAATGGCTGAACGGATCTGGATGAAATTTGGTACAGAGATCGATAGCACATCAGCTATCTTGTATCCCGAGAAATAATTTTGAAATATCTATTTACGGACTACAGCAAAAACTGCTTAATGTCATTTGCTACGAGGTGTCTGGCGCGGAAGCGCTCAATCGCTGGTTCGACCAAAGTGAGTGAGGGTATATAAATAGGGAATTTATTGTAATTCGACGTTTGTTTGATCTAGAATTGTTTGGTGCTTTGTTTTACATCAAGTATATTACTGTGAATAAATAGTTATTGGGTTATACAGGTTGTCCAGAGGCAGAATTTGGATTTCGAAATCAAATGTTTCCGTAACCGTTAGGCAGGTGAGCGGAGAACGGGCCGCGGTAGCTTCGTCATGCGTGCGGGTTTTTAGTCACGATGCCGCATTGGACTGGCAAACAACGCGCGTCGCAATCGAAGCATATTTCAAGGCGACTGGGTCGTGTGCAACTGCACGTCGATAATTTTGTTCACGGTACAATATTCAACGAGAACAAGATGCTCCAAGTGCAGAACTGGTTCGTTCGTGAGTGCAGAGCTTTCGAGCAACAGGATCAGCAGCAAACAACATGCGGCCAGGGCCTTACCGGACGTCGAGGACTAATGAAAACATTGAACTCCTCGTGAACAGCTTGAACGTTAATCCGCGACAGTCGGTGCGCTAGGGCTCCTAAGACCGTTGTGCACGAAATAATGGAGAAGGATCTTAAATTGCACCCGTTTAAAATTCAGATTGTGGAAGCACTTAAGCCTAAGGATTACGGAAATTTCTGTGAGACAATGTTACAGCGATTTCGTACAGTAAACTCTATCCTTTGGAGTGACGAAGCCCACTTCCATTTAAATGGATGCATGAATAAGCAAAATTGCCGTTATTGGTGGCCAAAAGATCAGAACCCACGTTTAAAACATGAGCAGCCATTTCACAGTCCCAAAGTGCATTATCCAGTTACGGAATAATCGGGCCCTATTTTTTCGAAAATTGCCGAAGGCAAGCAATAAGAGTGAGCGGTGTTTCACATGTTAGACGATTATTTTCTGCCATTATTAAGAGAACATCCTGACTTTAGTTCGCATACATGGTTTCAACAAGATGGCTCCAGACCTCATACTGTTAGAGACACCATGACGCTTCTTCAAGATTTCTTCATTTTTTCCCTAAGAAACTGATAAGTTGTTTCGGTGACATACCTTGGTCACCCAGGTCACCAAAACATTATAGTGTTTATCCCCCATGCTAGTCAAAGGTGATATATTTTTTGTTTTCCATGTGACAGTTCATTTGTATTTCTTTTCATTATACAGTGTGTTACTACGATAGTATGAAAGTGCTATAATATGCTGATATTCCACGAACTCATCAATCCGAAATTTAGGCTAGCATCTCACAAAACCAGCACAGCCCAAGATCGCCTGAGGTAGGCATTCCCGTTCCCCAAAATAAACACGTGCAGCTTAACAAAACTGCAAGCGAGCACGAGGCTATCTGTCATTTTTTTAGTGTACCAGTTAAGTAAACCTAGTCCATTGTCTAGGTAAACCCACCCAGAATGGTTGTATCACACTGGTTAATTGTTATGCAGTCTTCGACTAAAATATTGAAAATGGATTGTATTGGATCTAAAACACGAGATATACTAATTGAAGAGTGGTAATTCAAAAGCGTCTAAGTGCTACATTTAGGTATTTTCGAATTTCATTGATTTTAAGGTCTATGTAACATGTATACCAAATAGTCTATGTGCCAGTCAAGAATCTGCAGTTCTATATACTTATTTAAAATTCGCCTGCAGTCTATCTATCTGTCTGTATGTATATACCTGATATGTTTTTCTTTAATTTCTCAACAAAACCTTTTTGGCACTTAGACGCTTTTGAATTACTACTCTTCAATTTGATACCTAAAGGGAACCATGTTTATCCAGTGAGAAAATAGACACAACAGTTTGACCTTGAGATGACAACGCAGAACATCTGCACGTTTGGGATTAAACAAAAAACCATGAGAAAACCTGTAGAAAACTCATGGTCTATCAGTTAGGTGGAAGAATATCGATTAGATCTTTCCTTTGAGGATATTCAAGCTAATTGAGTAAATTATATCAATCTTCTTTTGGAAGAGTCTACCCAAATGTGCAATGAAATATGCAGATTAAACAAAAATTGACCTTCCAAGAGAAGATTGATATAATATGCATATCATAGGAGTTTGATGATTTATTGAGATATAAGCATCTCAATGCACAAAAATGCTTAAATTTGACAGACTGCCTGTTTGTTATTTTGAATAATAGTAATTTTTTATTCTACAGTCATGAAGTGCTCATATACAGCTTAAAAATTACGTATTCTACAACCCCCCATTCCATTAAAGAAAATGTCCCAAAATAGAGTTCAGCCAGCATCTTGAAATTTTAAACTGGCAATTTGACGCCAAAATATATGCATGAATTTCCTCACACCAAATTTCAGCTTCCCATTCAAAAAATAAGTAGAGGGACCTTTTTGAAAAGCACTGTTTAGATGTTAAGTTAGTTACTGATAATGTTTAGTCAACAGTTTTAGAAGGCTTCATTATATGGCACTTCCTTGACTAAAGAAACAAAAAATCAGAAACTAATTATTATATAATCTTATAAATTTACCTGAAGGTGAAAATACCTCATGAAATCCCACCCAGGGTCATTTCTTCTCTCCCTTTGTTGTCTAACATGGTCTTCTAATCTAGAAACTGCTCTAGCATATGCAACTAATAATAGATGACGAATTCGAGAAACTAGACCCCTCCATGAATCAGCTGATCGAGATTCAGACTTACCAGGGTTTATCACAGAAATACATCTATCACCTAAAAATACAATATTAACGTAATATTTCAATAGAAAAGTCTAGATCAGTGTATAATAATAATCTGATTGGTGAGTAACTATTATGAGTAAAAAAAGATTTTTAGAAAATTGTATGGCATTAAATATCTCAAGCAAGAATTATGAAATCTAATTCTTTTGAGGCCTTTTATGTCCAGAAGATTCAGTTTTTGATTTCCTTCTGCAGATTTATATACTCTAAAAGTCAACATGGCCTAGAAATGTTTAACCTACTTCCACAGCCAAAAAAAAGAGAATCTCTTAAAAGACTATTTAATTGAAAATAGCTTTTATAGTCTAGAAGAATATTGTCATATATGCCTTTAAATCTCATTTTTTACTATTTGACTATTTTTTGTTAGATAGTTTTTTTTAAGATTTGAAACTGTATGACAATTCTATACAATGTTTGTTGTCACGAGGAAATAAATAAATAAATAAACATTTAAAGAAAATTTGATGCTTTGGATACATGTTGCTTTTTTTTCAATTGCCTGTTTGGAGCAGTATTCTAAACCCTTTTCACCTGATTATTTCATGGTGTGTAAAAAGATGAAGCAATGTTATCAGTTTTTCATCGAAAAATGCATTTTTTCTTCAATCAAAGCTTGTTAACAAATACCTATTAATACTGCCCTGAAATTGTATGTCAAGATTCCACTTTTATAGTGAAGTTGAGCAGATGATTAATTTCACCCATGCAATTATCTTATAAAACTGGAATATTCCCATACAGTTTTAGAGCTGTACTATTATTTGTTAACAAGGTATGAAAAAGGAATGCACAAAAAATGCATGTTTTGACAAAAGAGAATCTGATAACATTGTTTTTCAGTCATCTCTATACACACAATGAAACAATCACATGAAAAGCAATATGCAATGTTAAGTACTTTTTTAATTTGAACTCTGTTCAATCAATCAAACATTTTTATGTCATACATAAAATTGCTCAAGAACAATAGACAATAAATATATTTTGGGGTTTTGTGGAGACCTACCTTGTTTTGGTGCAAAATCTGCTCTAATTTTGTCTAAAACTGTTGTTCTTGGTAATAACTTATTTGCCCTTTTTCCATCAAAATTTTCTACAACAACTATTAACCAATCTGGTATTTCCCTTGAGCTCAGTTCCTTTAACCATGTTTCTATGTCTTCTTTTACAGATGATTTATATACATCCACATCCTAAATAAATTCAAGCTTATTAGCAGATCAAAAAATTAAACATAAAAAGGTTAAAAATGTTCACCTTTATAATCAGTTATAAAGTTATAGGTATGGAATTTAAAGCATTAATGAAAGTAAATGAGAGAAAAGAACATTCAAATGTCCTCATGGCAGCAAAAATATTAAGTTGTTCATGAAGCTGATATCAATATAAATAACTTCACTTCTAATATGTTTGCTTGAATGAGTATGGAACTGTAAATGGAACAGTAAACTACAATTTGAAACTATCTTACAAAATTACATGAATTACTACCCACATAATACAATTACCTTTATGTTTGAGTGAGTTACTAAATAAACTAATATTAATATTACATGGAAGTTTGTCATTTAATGTATAGTTTTTAAAATTTAGCTGCATCAAAAACTGTATTAGCATTAGGATCACAACTCTTGTATAATTTTATTTTCTATTGTTATGACAATAGTATTTATTTTGGTGTAAATGTAAACAATGTGCACTATAATGCTCAAAAGATAACTGAACTCAATGGTCATGGAAAATATTGCAAAATATTTGCATTTCAAGTTACAACATATGTAGATCATTGATAGTAATTTCCAAAAAACAAGTCAAGGAAAATTAAAACTATGTATTTTTAATACATACCGAACACTCTGTCCAGTAAATATGGAATAAAGGTTGTCTTATCAGGTCCCACTGATTCCCTTTCGGTAGCCCCGCGGCGCTGTAAGGGGCAAATGTGGCTCCAATATGCACAGACCTTATGGGTCTTCCTAAAGATCTCCTCCATTCACAGGCCTCTTGTGGTAAAGCTTCTGAGAGATTGTTCTCTATTGTAGAAAATACATCTATTTCTCCAGAACCTACAAGATTTTATGATTCCATGTAAAACAAGTGTGGAATTTACAAGAAAGTCACGTACATGTTATGATAGGTCGACGGTCAACGAGTGACCCATCCTCTGAAGACATTCCATTCATGATCAGTTTGAATATTATCCAGGTGCTAAGGGAAAACGCATTGTCACACACTTTATACGACACAAGTTTATCGAATATCCTATGCTTTCTCTACGGACATATCCCAAATCAATTAAAATAGGAAAACAAATACTATACAAATGCACAAAGCACAAATTGAACTCCCATCAGAGGAGATGTGAGGATGTGACACATATCACTGTCACTCAAAATGACAAATTGTCAAGTTGCTGGGATAGAGATGCGAAACAGCAAAAGTTTCAAACACTCGAATTCGGTAAGTTCCTGACAGCGCTCTCTTAACGGTGCTTCTTTTTGCTTTCTCATTAATCAGATTGTAGTTTTTAATGAAAAATGTTTGCTAACTTTTTTTATTCAACCACGCCTCTTCCTCTACAATAACGTATATCTTTGATTAACCCGGGAAATATACGATGGTAATGAATAATGAGAATACTTGTATCCAAATTGAATGTTTTCATTTTCTGTGAATAATTTTGTATGTCTTCTAACCTTTGTACTACTATTTTTATTTATTGCGCAGAATTAGATCTGTAGCTAATGGATAGAGAGCATTAAATTGGAGAATCCCACAAGCGAATTCAATAGTTTGTAATCAATTGAATAGCTATTGTCCAAGTTAGGAAAACGAGCAAATACCTATAAAAGCACAAGTACCCAAAACTGAGCAAGAGAAAATCCAACATGATGCAACCTGCAGGCATTCGAGAGCCTTTGATCGAGGCATGTCAAATACTAGCTGAACAAGAAGATCTAAAAGTTACTGTGAAAGAGGCATCGAAAGGAGCTCTGATCGCAGGATTTGGAGCATTCTGTGGAGCAATTCTTGGGGGACCTCCTGGGTTAGCAATAGGTACAGTAATGCGAGTAGTTTAGATTCATTTGTGCAGTCAAACTGATACAGCTTTATTGCTCTTTGGTTTGCTATGCTATGTTCATAATAATACTCTTACTAGGTATTTACTATACCCCATTCGTAGTCCATTTACGCCCCGACAAACCACGACATGCCCAAAAGCTAGATTGTACAGGTCCGTATTTTCCTCAATGGTCGGGGAATAATTTAACAAAATAAATGATTATTTTTATAGAAAGAAGTGAACATACTTATCGCAATTCTTTATTCGCTGTAAGTACTTGAATCATCGTATGAACGGTTAATATTAATTATTACAGGCTCAATTTGAATATCGATCATATTGTCAAAATCACACATCTTTGTTTTTCGATCGTTAATTGAACGTGACATGCAATCTTTCCAATGGTTTGCGGTCACTCTGTTGACAGCTTCATAAAACAAATTTTTCACATCAGAAAATTTGAATGTTCTATTGTTTGAAGCCACATAGTTTTTATATTTGCTCAAATCATTTCAATGGGATTTAATTCGCAGTGATAAGGGGGTAGCCTTAAAACAGCCTGACTAGATGGATAAGTTCTGCTTTGACCATATTTTCATTGAATCTAATGTCTTTTAATAAGAGCCATTGTTAAATTTCTCCCTTTCTTGTGGACATTGTGGCAATTTTTTCTAGTTATCTAGTGTGGTATGCAGCATTATCAAGTACAATGATAGCATTGTCGTCAACTTTGGAAGCATTTCTTCAAACCATCTTTACAATGAATTCCTGTTCATTTCTTCATGGTAGTCGTCGTTTTCTTTAACTCAAATGCCCATAGGGCAGAGGGCACAAAGCCATCTTCACTGCCAACGTGACAGATAACAAATCGTTTTCTTTTTCCTAGAAACAATAGTTATTTGATATAGTATTCATGAAAACTAATAATAATACAAGCAGAGTATCTAACATCTGTTGGTTCTAATTATACCAGATATAGCTAAGTTTAATGTAGCTAAGTTTTCAGTGTGGGCTCATAGATTCAGTGTACTTGACACCATTTTTACAACACAAATGATTAATTGGTTAGATACATGTACCTGACGGATTCTTTAGACCAGTGGTTTGTCCATCTAAGAAGGCTTGTCTTTCTGATGTAATTGTCGAGTCAGCCCTTACTTTAGGTTTTTTATGTCCTGCATTTGTCCAGGTCTCATCCAAGTAATAAATCTTCCTGCCCTAGTCGCGGTATTTCTTTATCGATTTTAAATAATTTCTTCTCCATAAAATAATCTCTTGGCTGTCCATCAAAATACTATTTTTGCTCCGTTTTCGATGCTCAAAATGAATTTCTTTGAGTAAGCTGTAGAATATGGTCCTTTTGAAAGTAAGTAAGTCTTCATCACTACCAACCTCCTGAAAGACTTTGTCTATGATGGGAAGTTCCTGCCTTTCAAAAAATTAATGGACTGCGTCTGTTGGCATTCCGATCAAAGTTATCAACTGTATCCAATAGCTTCATGTAATGCAGCCTCTTGTGTGGTGGAGACACTCTTTTATTTTTTTATATTCTTCAACAATGTTGGATATTGTCTTAGGACATAAGCCTGTTTTGTTTGCCACACGTCTTTCAATATGATGAATTTCCATTTCAGGGTGCCCTAAAATTTTGCTCTTATAAATGTTAAGGACAATTTCTTTTGCCTGAATATTCAAATGTCCCTTCTTGTCACGTTTTCGGGGAGGAATCACTGAAGAGGAAGCATGGCTGAAGGAAGCATTGGGAGAAATTTCTCAGTTTCATCTGCTGTATCCGTAGACCACATGCTAACCTATAAACACACGAATATGAACAGCAACTGCCGTAGGCGTGCCGAGTTCTATCCTGTCGAATCCTGCACTTGTTCGTAGTTTTATGGCCGAATGACCAATAGCTATTGCAAAGCTTAATCGGCTGCCGTGTTGCCGCGCTACATCTTTGTTGTGTCGGGGCGTAAATTGATTACGAATAGGGTATAATATTTGTGCTGATAATTCCATATTTCAAAGCACAGAGGTAGAAGCTATTTAGTTGCATTTTTACAGTTTTTAATTTCAGTGACTATCCATTTTTCATATTATTTTTGAAAACAACATTCTGTGGGTCTTAAACAATAGAGTATTTCATTTCTATGTTCTCTTGCAAAAAAATACAAATGATTTAATTTTATTATTGTTCATAGGAGGTACAATAGGATCCATCATTGGTGCAACTTCTCTGTCAAACTTCAAGCCTGTAGTGCAGATTCTAAAGGATGAGCTTGACTATGAACAAAAAATGAGACTATCTCAATGCCTAGAAGGAGTCATGGAAGGTGTCAATAAAGAAGATGTAGCTATGCTGGTCACACTTATAATTACATCACCATCCTTAAAGGAGGCAGTACTCAAAGAGTTGGGTAACTTTTTATTGAAAGAATTGAGTGTAACTATGATAAGATGAACTAAAATTCATCTGAGTTTGAGCTAAGAAGTGATAGTATTCTGTGATTAACAGTACATTTTGTTTATTTTTTTTTTTTGTTCAACATTTAATTATACCAAAAAGACAATAGTTACTTATTAATTTTAAATAATAATTCAGGATTGTCTGCAAGGTAGATCAGATTATGTTCCTCAACAAAACCTTCAAACAAATGGTGTTATTGCTGATTCTATATTTTGAGAAAAATCTGAAAGAAAATATTTTACTTTGTAATAAATTATTTTTGTGACAATCTATGAAAAAACTATACTGGAGGTTTGATTAAACATATCTGTGAAGTTTTTTTTAATCAATTCATAAATAATGTGTGCTTAATGTTACTGAATGTTGTAACTCATTTGTGTTGCCATTGAATATTTTTGGATTGTCCAATTATCATCCAAGAGACTGATGTACATGAGAATGTGATTTTTTTTTTAATAAAATTTTTAAAAATAAAACTCATTTTTAAGTCCTGTTCACTTAGAATCTTTTATCCTATCAGGATGATAAAGTATTCCACATATTATAGGAATATAGGTCAATAATTCACTTTTTGTCTCCCAATACAAAATAATAAAACATGATAATTATGGGTGCTGAAACTTTTAATGTCGGTCAAAAACTCCTTTATAGTGATTTAAGGCAAAAAATAGGTGGCTTGAGACTTGCCTTCTCAATTGAAATATATTCTTACTATTTTGACCATGCTTCTTTTTCGTTTGAGAATGTATATAGTAGATTAGCCTCTGTCAGGGTGTATACAGGGTTCAACAAGTAATTGCTTTTTAGGTGCTTTAACAATTTTGTGACAACAATAAATCTATTTGCACAGCTGTTTCTATTTATTGAAATTTTAACTAGGATGCTTCCAGAATGGATCCAGTTTGAGTTTGTCAATATCAGAATTCTGCATATCTGAATAGAGTATTAAGTTCTAAAAAAAACAAACAAATAATAAAGCACTTTTATTAAATCTCAGTATGTTTTCGAAAATGTTTATATATACACACACAATAATATAGGCAATAATAAATATGAATAACAAGAAAATTTTAGAGTATACACAACATTAAAAAATATAATTTTAGTGATCTAAGATACGCATATTTCCAGATACGATTTTGTTCTCTAATATGGCACCAGACGGAATATCTATTCTATCACCATGGTTTGCTATTATTATCACTGTACCCTGAAAATAAAACGAACAAAAGGTAATTTCATTTAAATCTGTTTTTGGTCATAAGGGACCGTTCAAGTATTACGTGAGCACTATGTGGGGAAGGGCGGTGGGGGTCTTTGCTTTGCTTATTTTGGATGACATGGGGGGTAGGGGAGTCTAGATGATGATTACGTCATCGGTAGTTATTTACTTTTTTACACGAATGGCAATCCTCACATTATCTTTGCTTGAAAACGAAACGCATTTTCGGGGATTCCCGCAAATAATGCATACGTTTAGTGAACAGCGCGCGGTAATTCCCCTACTCGCTTTAGAACCGAGTAGGGGTATTACCGCGCGGTGTTCACTTGTCTAAATTTCCTCTATCAGTGTATTGTTTCGTTTGGATACTATAGCGAGTAGACGTATTGTAGGCATAGTAAAGCAAGTTAACATTTGTGTTACCATTGATTCCATTAGCCAAAGTTTAATGTTTAAATAAGATGTCGTTTCACATAGACATATCCAAGTTATACCAAAAATTGTTTGAAAGTTTTAAAAAATCTCATACAAGTATGAAAGTACAAAATGTACAAAAGTTAGTTAACGAAGTGTGGCGAAATTACAAATTACAAGCCAAATCCGACAAGGAACTAGATATTACTGTATCTAAGAGAATCGAAGAAGAATTGCAAGCGGCGCCTAAGAATAAATCCAATCTACTAAATTTTTTTTCTAAGGTGAGTGACGAAATCATTTTAGGTACCTATGAGTAATAGAAATATTATAAATCGCGAAAAAGTTTCTCTTTACAGATTATAAAATATTATGGCCTATCTCAAAGTATAGAGGTAATATTCATTATATTATAGATTTATTTCTTATGATTGATTCCGTCAATTGGTCACAAAGTACAGGATGTTAGTTTTATACATATACAGAAAACTAACACCCTGTATTTTGTGACCGAATTGCTCGTTTAAACATATTAGATTTAAAGCCACAGGGTTTTGTATTTAACATATACTAACTGACATATAAATCCGAACACCCAGTTTAAATGGTTTTATTTTAATAAAAGTTGGTGAATGTTATCTTACTGTACATAACAAGTAACAAAATTTTCAGCCTTATCAGTTGGACATTCCGGTTTTTATACTGCTTTTTTTAATTCACTAACGCTCTAAAAATGAATATTTCAGCCGCAGTAAAGAATCAACGTTGGCGGATTTTGGTTCTTGACATCCTTTACGATCGGTTACGATGCCTAGAGTACGGAGACCTGTACGATTTCGTCAACTTAGTGAGTTTGATAGGGGCCGTATAGCGGGAAGCTGGACTTTCTTTTCGGGCAATTGCAGTTAGAGTGCAAAGAAGTGTAGACACTGTGGTTAGGTGTTGTCAGGCATGGCTTCGAGAAGGCCGTACGCAAAGAGCAAGGGGCACTGGACGCCGCCGTAGAACAACAGACCGTGAAGATCGCCGCCTAAGATTATTGGTCTTAAGGGACCGTTTCTCCACTACCAGGTCCATTGCAAATGAATGGTTTGCAGAACACGGAAGACCTATTGGCATGCGAAGTGTTTACCGACGAATGAGAAGTTTTGGCTTGTTTTCATACCGGCCACACTGGGTCCTCCCTTTAACTCGAGAACACCGACGTAATCGCCTTGAGTGGTGCAGACAACGGTCACTCTGGGATCAGGAATGGAACAGTATTGTCTTCAGTGACGAGTGTCGATTTTGTTTAGGCATGCACGATGGGTGTGCCAGGGTTAGAAGGCGACGTGGTGAAAGGAGGAATCCACAGTTTTTTGTTGAAAGACATGTTCATCACACTGTTGGAGTTATGGTTTGGGGTGCTATAGCTTATGGTTCCAGGTCACCTTTAATCTTCATCAGAGGTAACATGAACCCGCAGCGTTATATCCACGAAGTTCTAGAACCCCATCTTTTACCCTATCTTGACACCCTGGCAGATCCAATTTTCCAACAAGATAATGCCCGACCACATGTTGCAAGAGTCACAATAGACTTCTTTCAACATAATGATGTCACATTGTTACCATGGCCACCAAGATCTCCCGACTTATCCCCAATTGAGCACGTGTGGGATATGATGGGTAGGAGATTGCTCAATTTGCAACGTCCTCCTCAGACTCTAGAAGCACTTCGAGAGGAGTTGGTGGTTGCCTGGAATGAGATACCACAGGAGGACATTGACCACCTGATCAGAAGCATGCATAGACGCGTTGGAGAATGCGTAGCACATCAGGGTGCATCCACACATTATTAAAGGTCAAAGGGCTTTAAAGCAGTGCAATCATTTTGAAATTTTTATCATTTACTTATTATGCTTCATTAAGTACTTATACAAAATATTATTAAAATAAAACCATTTAAACTGGGTGTTCGGATTTATATGTCACTTAGTATATATATATTGCCATACTTTGTATTTATGTAGCTTAATAAGATAATATTTAGCAGAAGCCATAGAAAGTTTTTATTTTTAGGCAACCTGTAAACCTGCAGAAAAAACACAAATTATACAGTCAGCTTCAAATATTAAAAAAGGGGAAGAAGATAAAATAAAACCCGGTAATGAATCACAACAGCAATGCGAAATTAATGAAAATACAGATAAACAGAGAGCAAAATCTTCTCAGGAAGCTATGAAAAATAAGATTGCTCTACTCGAAAAAAATCTGAATGCTTTGTATTCTGCCAGAGATACTATGCCAAGCCGTGCTGAAGTTGATAAACAGATCATTAAGTTGCGCGAGGAAATAAAAACAGCAAAACAGTTTTTAAACAGGAAGGTTCAAAACGCAGTTGCCCAGAAGAAACACAGGGATGGTATGAAAAGAAAGAAGATATTTGTCATGAAAATCCAGAAATAAAAAAAAGACTATCTCTGAGGGATTCAGTATGACGTCCTAATCTTGAAAGCAATCAACATTCACTATTGAAAACAATCGCGTATATAGCTTTATTAGTCGCAGTGGGACATATCTTCGTTTGATTTCCAGAAAATCTAATTCTGCAGAAGGACGAAGACATGAATCGTCAGTCCCTGTTAAGCTCATTCGGGCTCAAACTGATGACCACAAGAGCCACTTAGATAGCAAGTTCGCTGGAACATCAATCCATTATTTAGAGAACATAGCATCCATACTTGGACCAGATCAAGTATTTTTCATATCTCAAGATGATAAAGCTCGAGTCCTTATTGGCGTAACTGCGGCAAATAAGCAAGCCCCTCTTCTAATGCACATGGAATATAGAATCAAATTGCCTGATGACGATTGGGTAATCGCTGAGCGTCATAAATTAATACCATCTGTTTATGCTGGTATCAAAATCACTTCCAATATGCTAGGACAACCGCAAGCCGTTGGATATTCTGGACCAACATACATCGCTATTTGAAGTGGAAAGCATAGTTCATCGACTGCTAATACTCATACTCAGGATTTCGAGACGCTTCTCGAACTTGAAGAGTTTCGACCATTAGCTAAAACTGATCATGGACTAGTAAAACCAGTGGTAATCATGACGGTTGATGGAGGGTCAGATGAAAATCCACGTTATCAAAAAGTCATAGGGTTTGCTATACATTGTTTTTAGCTACCAATGCTCCTGGAAGAAGTGCGTATAACAGAGCAGAGCGCAGAATGGCTCCTCTTAGTCGGGAACTGGCTGGTTTAATATTGCCTCATGACCATTTTGGGTCTCATTTGGATGAACGTGGTGTTACAATTGATGAACATTTAGAAAGATCTAATTTCGAATTTGCAGGAAATGTATTAGCTGAAGTATGGAGTTCAAAGCAAATTGATGGCTATAATGTTAATGCAAAAGATGTTGGGGCAGGTGAACAAGATCTTCCTGATTTTCCAGACATTAAATGGTATTCAGAACATGTGCGTGAGAGCCAATACTTGCTTCAAATTGTAAAATGTAGAAATACAGAATGCTGTCGTCCAAGAAGTGGCCTATTTAGATTACTAGACAATAGGTTTCTTCCACCACCTGTAAAAGTAAAACAAACAGTTGATGACTTGGTTTTGGATGAAGGAGAGCAATTTCCTAATCTTCCAGTCAATTTAGCTCTACGCTTAAGTGCTTCACTCAAAGATTTCCTGCAAATGCCCTACGATTATTTTTGTCCGACGGTAAAATTGAGGCTACCAAGTCGAACATGCAAAACGTGTGGTCTTTATCATGCTTCCGTCAAGTCACTAAATCGTCACATCGAAAATATCCATAAAAAAGTAAACACGCACACTGATACGAAAGTTAGACCTGTAAGAGTCGCTGCTCGTCGTGCTAATGAACTAATGTGCGTTATTCAAAATTTAGAGCACCATGATGTTAAATGGCCCGATGAGAACGACGTAGACATTCCAAAATCCGATGAAAGCGCGCAAACTCACAACACTGAGCAGCAATCGACGCAATCCAATGTAATCGAAAACTTAGAATCATGGATTCTGGTTTCATGGACTGAAGACTGTTAATTTGAATTTAATATATGTACCAAAAATTTAAAATAAGTTTGTTATGTTAGTAAGATATAATATTTTTGTCCTTTACTCTATGTTGAATACCGTATCAGTAAAATATAATCTCTATCCTAAATCTATTTTCTTATTTTTCGAATTATAATTATAACGTTATAATTCTCATATTAAAAAAGAACAATACATTAATTGACAAATGTTTACGTAAGCATGGGGGGAGGGGGTAAGAGCTTTGCTTACTTTTGCTGACAAGGGGGATGGGGGGTAAATAATTGTAATAAATCTGCTTACGTATTACTTGAACGGCCCCTAAATCATTATTTCTTGTGAAACACAAACCTTGTACATTTCGGTCACATTCTAAAGCTCTAATTTGACTCTTTGCTCTTTGAGAGTAACTTCTCCAAATAATCGAAATTGACATCGCATACCAAAAAAATTATAAAATTACGAAATTTTGAACTATGTATAAAAATCAATCAACAATTTTGGAGTCTTGATGATCATGCAGCGTGCGCCCAAAAAATTGTCTAAAATAAAATGAGATACTGTAACATCATCTATGAGAATTTGTTACACCTGTTTCTCTATTTACTATATATACTTCGAAAAGGTTAGTGTCTCATAGATGGCGCTCTCTATATAATATACATGCATATATGAGACTACAGCTCCATCTATGAGACACTAACCTTTTCAAAGTATAAACAGGGTGTCCTCAAAGTTGAGTCATTTATTTCAACAGCTTGAACTCGTCAAAAGAAGTTGATATGCTAAAAATCACATATATAAAAGTTGCATAATAAGAGGGTTAGTTTACATTATAAAAATTATTTAAAAGAATCATTATCAAGTTAAATGGATACGAATTAAATCCCAAGCATTTTCAGTGAGTTGTTGAAGTTCTCCCAGAATATTTACTGCTCCATCATGATACAGCAACTCTTTCAAAATAGCCCCACAGAAAAAATCGCAAGGCGTTCAATTCGTGGAGCGAGCAGGCCAAGAAATGGGTCCATTGCGCCCTATCTATCTATTCGGAAACTCATTATTTAGATGTTCATGAACGTCTCGTCTAAAATGTGGTGGAGCCACATCATGTAGGAACCACATAATCTGCCTCGCGGTTAGACGAACATCTAGTTAACACTTGTGGCAGATTGTGTCGAAGAAAATCTAATAAATTCATTTACAGAATGCTGATTTCCTACTGGTCAGACATGATTGTTGCGGAAATTGTGCACTCCATTTCGTGTAAATGTGGCCTCGTCTGTACACAAAATTAATTTCGTAAAATCTTCATCTCTGCCGAAAAGCCACTGACAAACTGCAACTCTTCTAAGATGCTCTTCAGGTTGTAGCGCTTGCACCCGTTGAGAAGGATAATACTGTACTTGTCGTATTGTCTTTCACACTTTACTATGAGAAACTTGAGATAAACGATAAGTGTAGTAAACAAAAAACGCTAAGATTTTACTCGGCAGTGGTCAAGAATATCAAAAAAACTATGTAATAACATGCTCATGTTTAAAAATTTTTAATCTTTTACTATTTCTTTTATTATGCAACTTTTATATAAATATGTGAATTTGGTATACCAACTTCTTTTGACAAGTCCTACAAGCAGTTAAGGTAAATGACTTAACTTTGAAAACACCCTGTAGGTATAGTAAATAGAGAAACAGCTGTAACAATTTCTCATAGTTGACTTTACGATACCTCATTTTTTCGGCACTAGGTATCTTTTGGTAGAATACTTTAATCAATGTTAACAGTTTTGTCTTTTTCATAATTCTCTGAAGCTGCTAGTACACAATCGGCAATATTTTTTGCAAATTTTGACTGAAGGGCAATAATCCTAGGTTTTGATTTTGTAAAAATCTCAAAACCTACCCTTAGAGAAACACCCCTTCCAAACGTAACATCCCCAGACACAGTGAGATGATCCAACTCCAGGATATCTGGTACCTTTTGAAACCTAGCCAAAAACTCTTTTACTTTGGCGAAATGGTTGTCACCTAGTTTGACTAATGGAGTAGTTGGGAACATCCTTTGAGGTGACATCGTTAGAGAACCATTTTTCAACCTGAAAATGATAAAAATATTCATTAGCAACATAACAGCTTTTAGCTACAGAAAATTTATTGATTTCTCTCATCATATGAGTTACTTACACATAGAGATCACTCATGACCAAAAACAAATCGGAAGTCTTCTTGACAGGCAAAAATCTGCTACGAGGTACGTTAATCCCTATTCCACCTTCGAAAGTTTTCATAGCTGAACCGACTGCTGTTTCTAGCTGAATTATATTTTGCCCGTTTTCTAAGGTTTTATTGTTCACTATAATTTCCATATCCAGACGGTCATCTTGTAATACTTTGGCAATTGCTGAAAAAATAAAGATGATAACCATAAAATTGAGTAGAAATTGAGTTCCGAGCTATACACACTAAACTAATATTTAATAATTTTTAAGTAGATTGCAAAGTTAGCAGCTTTAGGGAAAAGTACACATCATAAGATTAAAAAATTGATACGGTTTTCTCGAAAATATTAAGTAGTGGAACTATGTAATATCTCTTTTCACTAAATCGTTGCAACTCAAAAACTCCGAGTTACTCAAAAACTTGAAAATAATTATAGAACAATAGTTTTACTAACCATCTAGTTTGACCCAAATATTATTTGTGTTGAAAAATTTGAACGTTTTGATAGATTTGAAGTCATCTACATGCTCTTTAGGAACCTGTGCAATTTCTAGAAGTCTCAGCTTGCCCTCATATTGGATAAGAGTTCCACCCTGGAAATAATAAGGCAAGGGTTAACAAATTAACTACAAATAGTTCATAGCTCGACTAATATAAAAAATAGCTCTATAAATCCACACTGTAAAGCAAATGGCTTACAAAATGAGAAGAATCCTTAAAAGGTCACTCTAATACTTCTACAACGGAGGTTTGGTTATCGTCAGATGTGGAGAAAATAGCTTTTATTCTCTGATGTCGTCAGTTTCACGTGAAATGTTTTTTTACAATGATTAAAAAAGCAATTTTGTCTACAGTGTATTAAAATCTTACTTTCAGCATTGATTAACGTATTTTATTTGAAGATGGCGACATTGATACTGTATTTCAGTATCCAAAAAGTTGTCCGAGATGAAATCGCCGCAATAATTAAAAATCTACTTTGAACAGAACTATATACTCTATGCTCAAATACAGGTTGTCCCAGAAATAACATGCCAGAGTGACACGGGAGGTGGATTGGCTTCAGATCAATCAGATAAAATCAACATGACCTTAATAAAAGTTTTCGAGATATTACCATTATTAATTTTTTTCAAAAAATCTCTACCTTTTGCTTTTGTGCCTGTTAAAGAACTTCTAACTTATGATTTTTTCCTGGGCTACCATTAACAGTTGGTTGAGACAACAGAGTATTCATTTCATTGAAAACTAACACGGTATGCTAAAAAACTAAATTATTACATTTGGTTTCAATGCGAAAACCTTTACTGAAGTTTGGCTAATTACTGTGAAAAAAATGTACCAGACTGTGAATCAGCAAATGTCCTTAAAAATAGCTATTTAATGCCCTTTCAAAAATAGTATAACATTTGTAGGTTCTTTTCACCAAAAACTGAATAATTCCAAGTTTTGCCATTGAAGTCGTAATACTTGCGAAATACTATAAATAAAAAATAATATTCATAAGAGAGCATTAAGTAGGCTACTTTTCAAGATTATTTGGCGACTCAGTCTAGTACACTTTTTTTGACAGTAATGAGTCAAACTTCAGGACTAGCTTTCAATGAAATGAATAAATACTCTGTTGTCTCAACCAACTATTGACGGTAGCTTAGGAAAAAAAATCATAATATAGAAGTTCCTTATAGCCATAACAGCCAAAAAGGAGCAAAAAGTGGTGTTTTTTTTGAAAAACATTAACAGTAGCAATATCTCTAAAACTAGAAAACTTTTTCTAAGGCATGTTGATTTTATCTGATTGATCTGAAACCAATCTACTCTTGTGTCACTTTGGCGTGTTATTTCTTGGCCAGTGCCATCTAGAAAACACTAATCATTTGAAACTAGATTTCTGATTATTGCCAATATGAGAAAAATTGCTGTTGCAAATTCTCATAGATAACGCAATCGTGTCTCATTTCATCATCAGCTAGAACACGTTAATCAATGGTCTCACTCAAAGCACAAAAGCAATGTTCAAATTCGCGCGCCCCCATTAGCCACCGGGTCATATACATGCCTGGGAAGGCAGCGACAAGCGAATGAAAGCAACGATCCAGTGTTCATGTTTGTTGTGATGTCGAGTGAATGAGGTTTTAATGGAGTATAGGTAGGAAATTATTCATTTTCTACTAATAGTTCGGTGCCGCAACACTGCAAGAGACAAAAGTATCTGTCTCTAGTGTTTCCTAAAAACTAATTACTCATGAAACTTGCACTGTGATTTTTTTAATGTTCATAGGCTTCCAATGACTGGAAGAAGTAATCCATATGCAGGGTGTCCCAAAAATCGACGTCAAGCCGGAATCGGGGTGTAGGCCAAGTCATAATAGTTATCAAAAAAATGTGAAAAAATCTAAGTCGTGTACTTTTCAAATTATAGGCTTTAAAAAAATCGGAAAAATCTACAGCCTGTGATGATGTTTCAGTTTCCATTACTAAAATTTGAATGTTTTCTCTACAGGCTTATACTACGTAGTGACAGCAAGACAGATAGTAATGCCACTTTTATTAATTCGTGGATGTGTTAATTAAATTCACAATAAATGTTCAAACTGCCTTCATTCAGCAGCAATGCAAGCTTGATATCTTCTTGAAAATGATCGGGTTATCAGACGGGCGAATCTTCCGATATTAACAAATTCAGCTTCTTCCATTTTCTGTCCCGTAGCTCAACTAAATTTTAGATTGGCTTTGAGTAAACTTTTTCTTCCAACTCTCCCTTAGTAAAAAGATCGAGTGGATTCAAGTCAAACCGCCATATCCGTCTGCTGGATTATTCCGCTTCAAGATATTCTCTAACTGAACTCTAAATTTGGTAACTGGTTTTGTAAAACGTCTAATTAAATTTCGCCATTCAAGAACTCTGGTAGCTCAAAGGATACAATGATTCTCCCATTTATAATCCCCCACATGTTTACTTTAAAACGATGGTGTGATCTAGCTTGGCTCATCAAATGTGGATTTTATACATGTCTCACGTGTAAGTTGTGTACGTATAGATTCATGTAACGAGCAGCACTGGGTACCTCTTACGTATTCCTGTACGGTCTATACAGACATGGTGGCACTACACAAACATGAATTGTAAAAGTGGCGTTCCTATCCGCCTTGCTGTCACTACGTAGAAAGACACTGTCCATCACTCCATTTAAGAAAAAAATGAAATTTGTAGTAATGTAGTAAGCCTATAATGTAAAAAGTACACGACTTAGATTTTTTTTATATTTCTCTGATAACTATTATGACTTGGCCCATCCCCCGTTTTCTGCTTGACGTCGCGTTCTGGGACACCCTGAAGATGTTTTAATTTTTTTTTGTAGTACGACGTTTTGGCTACCACGATGGCCTTCCAAGTACTTGCAACGTACAATGAAGTCCTATAATCTAATTACTGTCAAGAAAAGGTAAGTTGATGCATATACGAATAAGACAATGTAAATGTAATTTTTATAAATACCCCAAGAAAAACAGCCCCAAAAGTCCATGATGCACATTGTGAAATGCGAATTTAAATATTTCACAGTGACAGTGATGGAAATCTGATTAAGCACAATGTACAGTCTGCGACATTTGTTACCAAGCCAGGTTAAACATTTCTTTAATATAAAGTAATCTTAAAATACTCTTGCGAGGAACGTTCGAACTTTAATTTAAACACTTGTCAACTTCAAATATAAGTATTTTCATCACCATTTTTAAACATTAAAATACCCATTTTCAGGATTTTTCAATCAATCGCGTATAGCTCCGAGAGGGTCAACATTACTCAATAGTTACCAAGGACCTTTTTGTTCAAAATAACCCGAAAAACTTGAAAAAGCTTTAATCGCGGCGAAAAAGCACCTATCTGGGTGCATCCTGAAATTTGATGTAACACTTTTCTACTCAAGGGTCTGCTCGATTACTAGAAGGTGTTATGACAAGTGTTTTGAAAACTACAGCATAATTATACTACGAAAATGTTTTTCACTCCTTCAGCATTGGAAAAATTTACTTACTGATGCCATAATCGGTACTGTATTTTTATAATGTGATTTGCAGCTTCATAAGAAAACTAGTTGGAAATTCTATTCGAAATTATTATTTTTGAGGCTGCCAGGTGCCTAATTGTAAGTTAAAATTTAAACCGTGCCCTACAAGACCCTGAAGAGTATCTTAGGGTTAGTTTATTTTAAGGCAATTTTTAACCATGCTTAGTATGTCAACAGGAGGCGAACTTTTGGTTCTCACACTCCATACATAGGTACATATGTATCGATGCACGCTATGCATTCACAAATTGATTTTATCAAGCTAATAAAAAACAGACTTACCTTAACATCGGCTCTAGTCTTATCAGTCACCTCCATAACAAATTCATGTTGTGCATTTTCTTTGTTAGGATTCAACAACAAATTAAGTATATTCAAATCCACCGTAGCCCCCAAATTATCAATATTAGACAGAAACAGATACTGCCTTCCTTCCGCGATGTATTTATCCAGTAAACCAGAGTTTTTGAAACTTTCGTAGAAATCTCCATGTCCAGGTGGGTACCACGCTTCGATATTTTCGTGAACTCGCCCAGATTTCGCTATGGGTAAAAGAGAGTCTCTGCTGATCCTGGGAAAGCAAGATTGGTTGAAAGTGTGGATTTCGACGTTTAGGTTCTTGTATTTTCTGATTATCTTTTCGGTGTCTTCGTCTGTGTTGAAGGAGTTCATCAGCACAAGGGGGACATTTACGTTGTAGGTTTTGTTCAAGTGCTGAAAATATGAATTACAATCAATGTTCTAGCTAAAATCTAGGCCAGATGTATAGAATTTTTTCACAAATGAGCATTTATCTACAAAAGAAATCTAACCAAAGCGAAATTTGACACGAATCGATCTTTGCTACTAATATATCAAAGGAATTAGTACTGAGCGCTCTTTCCTCAATCTCATTTTAATCCTGCCAAAAAGTGTCGTCATGAAACTTGAGCAGATTCAGTAATTAAAATATGGAAAAAAGTTTACGTAACATCATTTATAGTATTTTTGGTAAAAAAGTGGCGTCAAGTAGATTGACTTTGCATCTTCCACGCAACGCTATCATTCATAAGAGATTTTGTTTGGCACAAGCTGGACCCTCCAAGAAAAACTACAAACACGAGTATAACGAACGAATGATGAGTTCACTGCCAGCGGCAGCTCTAGCTCGCGACAGGTTTAAACCCTATTTTCGTTGCGGTTGACGCGCATATTGAAAATATTTCAATCATAACAGCGATGAATTTAGCTCCTTCTGGGCATTCTTGTGTGATTAGAAGTCAAACAGTCAAAAGTAGATGGTAAAAAGACAGATTTGATATAAAGGTAACCTATTTCATGAAGTCTAGAGATAGGAGATTAAACTCATGTAGTAGGAGTGAAGTAAAAAATGACGACGACGACGTGAGTTGATACACTGCGCAGCAGATGAATTTTAGGTTCAGCGCATGTGGCGTCTCTCTCTCTCTCTCTCTCTCTCTGTTGCTGTCATCATGACTGTGTACCACTCCAATTTTGACAGTTCTGACGAGTTGCAAGCAGAAATATAATAAACCACGAAGTAATAACCTACAAAGCATGGCAAAACATGAGTGAAATGCACATAAAGGTTAAGGTGACATTTTTCAATGCGCAGACGCTCTACGGCTACTAGATTTCCGAGAGCTACACCATCCTTGGCGACAGGATTGGCTTTATATGATTACGTTTTAACGTCTATTGATATGAACAGGAATTGACATCTTTCTTTAAAACCTCAGACATCACCTCCAGCCTAACTAGCGCCATCTACTGCTAGCTTTCCAGGTTGCCGCCCATGAGATACAAACTTATTTTCCAAAGACTACGGTAGGTGGACTGTATACGAATCGCCAGTTTAAACTTACCCGGGATAGATGTATAAAAATTTATTAACCCCAAAAAATTGGAATATTAACCCCAAAAAATTAGATATATCGTCCCCCAGTCTCTGAAACGTAAAAAAACTAGGTTTGAGCAACTTTTGTTCGTACTTCTTTTTTCGTTTTTTCTCCGTAGCTCCGCTAACACTCGAACGATTTTTAAAACTTTTTCTTCCTTAGTATAGTAGTAAACTCGTGTCAAAATTTCAGCAAAATCGCAGTGGACAGACAGACTGATAGACAAACAGACAGGCCGACGGAAATAAGTGACATGGTCTTTCGTGATTCAAGAAATATCTCATTTTCGAAACTGTTCGCGATTACAAAACTACCAATGGGCATAGGAAGTAAACGCGACTTTAATCATTTCTTTGGAATGGTTTTCATTTTATAGTCTATAGCAAAATTTTCAAATGACTTGCAATCACAATCCTCGTATAGAAAGGAAAATACATATCACCCAGTAACTTACGTCTATCTGCTGCACAGTCAGATCCAAAAATGTCAAATCACTCCTAACAGTGATAACAGACTTCGGCCCATGACAACCCATCGACGTCCCCAAACCACCATTCAACTTCACGACGATCAACTTATTGAGCATCTGAGTAACCAAATCCTTCGAGGGAGATTCCAACTCTGTGTAATCTCTCACAGCACCTGTCGGAAGTTTCTCAATTCGATCCCACTCGACGGAAGGTCCAGATTCGTCCAGAAACCGGCGGAAGAGCTTCTGGAACCCTTCGATCTCCTTCTTGGCTAACTGGGACTTGTGTGCCTCGGTGCTCTCGGCGAGTTTCTCCAACTCCCGGCGAAGTTGGTTCAGGGCATCGCGTTTTGTGGCTTCAATGAACTGGGTGGTTTCGCTGCCTGCTCTGACGTGCCCCCGCACCTGAAACACGTTTTTCAAATAAAGTATTTGCTCATGTTGCAAATTCCATTCAAATCTTGCGAGTCAGGCAAGATCTATTAGATGATCTAATTATATTGTTTGGAGACATAGTATAAGATAAGCTATTGTACACAAAATAATATGTCGTGAATGATTGAAGACATAAGTTGTTAAACGTCTTATTTCACATTTCTTGCTAAAGTCGTCTTTTTCGATTTTTACCCCCCTCACATAACTTGTCATAAGTGATATACAGGGTTTGTCCGGAAAGTAATAGGACTCATTTTCTTCCGCCATGACTGTACTTCGGAGCGTGCGCGCACCGACTGGATTCGGTAGAGGGCGTTCCTAGCTAACGAATGAGCGGCTGGTCAGTTGTCTCCGAGCACTTGGAGCACAGGTACGCGATTGAATTCTGCGTGAAACTCGGTAAATCTGCGACAGAGACGTTTGATATTATCAAGCAGGCTTACCCAGGTGTTGCTTTAGCAAGAATTGGTGTGTTTCGGTGGCACCAGGCCTTTTTGGAGGGCCGGGAAGAGGTCGCTAATGAAGACCGTGCTGGAAGACCTTCGACTTCGACAAACACCGATAATGTGACTCGTGTGCGCAAAGTTTTGAACTCAGACCGTCGACTAAGTATTCGCTTATTTGGCCAGATGTTAGATTTATCAAAATCTGTGGTTCATGACATTGTGGCGCAGCATTTGAACATGCGCAAGGTGTGCGCGAAGATGGTCCCAAAAGTGCTCACTGACGACCAGAAATTGCGGCGAGTGGAAGTGTTTCAAGAAAATTTGAACATGTGTGAAAGTGACCCCCTATTTTTGAATAACGTAATCACAGGTGACGAGTCATGGATCTTTGAGTATGATCCCGAGACAAAGAGGCAATCTTCCGAGTGGCACACGACGGCGTCTCCTCGCCAAAAAAAGGGAAGAATGCGCAAATCCAAAGTGAAAACGATGCTCATTGTCTTTTTTGACATCAAAGGCATCATCCACCATGAATTTGTTACTCCTGGACAAACCGTCAACGCCAAGTTTTACGTGGAAGTGCTCAGGAGACTCAAACGAAGGGTCCGACAAGATATCGCAGCCGACTGGAAGTTGCACCACGACAACGCCCTGGCTCACAGCGCCTTTCTGTGAACAGCTACCTGACCAAGACCGGCATCCCAACGCTTCCGCAGCCGCCCTACAGACCAGATGTGCCCCCCCCCTCCCGGACTTTTTTTTTTGTTTCCTCTCCTGAAAAGGCCGATGAAAGGCAAGCATTTTGAGACGACAGAGGGGATCCAAGCAGCATGCACCGCGGCTCTCAAGGTTATTCCGGAGAATGCCTTCCGTGACGCCTTCAATGCTTGGAAATCGCGCTGGCAGCACTGCATCCTCGCAGAAGGAGCCTATTTTGAAAGTTTTTAAAGAATTGTAACGATTGGCTCAATAATTTAAAAAATATATATATATATATAAATAAATTGACTCAGTCCTATTACTTTCCGGACAAACCCTGTACATCAAGTGTCAAGTGAGTATTACGATTATTTGAGTTGATAAAAGAGCTACATCCTGATATGGGACATTGAATAAATGAATGAATCTTGAAATTAGAGGCATTCCGGCCACCATAAGAAGTCAGTGCATAGGCCGCTTAAGGGGGCCCTTATGCACCTCTACAATCCTTAGATCACAAGCCTCGCCATTTTAGCGAAGTTGAGAATCGCCTTGAGTCCAAGCTCCTTGACGTCCTGAGGGTCCAAAGTAATGGACTCCAGCATAGTCTGCCTATAGTAGCTCAGAGCTTCACAGCGACACAAAACGTGCGTCAAGGTCTCTTCCTCTACCCCGCAGCGTTCACACAAGGGATCCTCAGCCACCCCCATCACGTGCAGGTGGACGCCTTTATGTGTTATGGCCAGACAACAGTCCCACCAGCAATCTTAGGTTGACTCTATCCAGAGATAGACAGAAGCGTCCATCCTTAGCACTGGGCCCTTCAATGAGTTCTCGTGCCTGGCGGAGATGTCTGGAGATACTTCTCCATTTCTGAGAGTGTTGTCTTGCAACCCACGTCTCCATTTTCCTCCTAGCTTTATGCGCGGTCACTCCTAGAGCTGGCTCAGGACCAACGAGCTTGCTGGCTGATCCTGTCTTCGCCAGAGTGTCCGCCGTCTCATTGCCCCTTATCCCAGCGTGCCCCGGTACACATATTAACGATACCGGATGCCTCGCTGCGAGGCAATCCAGAGCCTCCCTGCATTGCAATACAAGACTCGAAGTAATCTTATATGGGACATTACACCACTATGAACTAAATAAGTATCTACAGATAAGTTAGTTGCTTGTGACATACCACCTTCGAAACTATGTTTTGCGAGTCTCCTCGGTGTCAAGTTGTACTGTCCGCAAGCTATCTGTCGTAATACGAGTAGACGGGTTCTCCTCTTCATCCCACAATGTCAATGCGGGTGTCCGCCAAGGATTGCTCTTAGCTCCGACATTATTCCTCATATCGACGACCTCCTTTCCTGTACGATTAACCCGATCTACAGCTTTGCTGATGACAAGCCGATCTCTGCCAGTGAGCTGAAGAAAAGAAGATTAGCAGCGACTTCCCTTCTGACAAGAGACCTGGAAATTATCACTGCTTGGGGGCGCAATAATCTTGTATAGCTTAGGGCTTCCAAAATACAGTACTGTACTTTGACTAACAAAAAGCGTCCCAGTGCTCATCCATTTTCGATGGATGGCCGAGTTCTACTAAATGGCCGTTTGTGTCGGCTGGTCGGAGTCCAGATCATCGAGGACTTGATCTGGCATGAACAGCTCATGTCAATAGCGACAACTGCTTGTTTAAGGCTAAGAAGTACTATTCTCCACATGACCTCCTCACTCTGCACAAGGTCCATATAAGATCTAGCCTCGAGTACTGCACATATGTTTGGGATGCTGCAGCCCCAACTACATTATCCATGCTCGATGCTGTTCAGCGGAGAGCTGTCCAACTGATCGATGACTATTCTCTAAGGGACATTATCGGGATTCTTTCGCACCGGCGGGCAGTCCCATCTGAATATGGCCTGCCACCCTAACCGTGTGAAACTGCGTACACCCAGAGTTGGCAGATACGACCGTTCCTTTGTCCCTAGGACATCGACATTGTAGAACAATCTACGTGAGGAGGCTTTTCCCAGTTCTACCTTAGACAGTTCAAAAATCGGATAAACAAAGTTTCTTCAAGCTCCTCATAGCAACCGCGGTGCCCTTGCATTTAAGCTTCTGCCTGTGCGGCTGCTTCGGTGGAAGAAAAATACACGCCATTCCTAGAATTTGATTTAAGAAAGAAACATGCAAAAACCAGGACCGTTCCGAATTTCAGCCATCAAGGATAATAGGAAACTTTGGAGGTTTAACTATAGAAGAACTACAAAATCTCAAAGATCAGATAAAGTTTGTAGATGAACAATACTATATTATGAAGGTATAATACAGGAGAACTTGACACATCCAAACAAGAAAAAATAAACACTTTAAACACGTATCTTCTCATATATATATATATATATATATATATATCGAAGCAGCCGCGCAGGCAGAAGCCTAAATGCTGGAACACCGCGGCTGCTATGATGATCCCAAAGAAATTTTATTAATACGATTTTTGAACTGCCTAAGGTTAATAGAACTGGGAAAAGCTTCCTCTTGTAGATTGTTCCATAATCTCGACACCCTCCGGACAAAGGAGGGGTCGTATCGGCCGGTTCTGGATGTACGAAGTTCGACACGGTTAGGATGGGACGCCAATGTTAGGCGGGTCTGTCTGGCAGGCACATCGCGCGACGGCATCATGGAAGAGAGCTCTGAGGAGCAAAGCCCGTTGGTGTAACGGTAGAAAAGAGCCAGATCGCCGACAGCCCGCCGATGCGAAAGAGTCCCGAGACTGTCTGTTAGAGAAGAGTCATCGATCAGTCGGACCACCTTTCTCTGGATAGCATCGAGCATGGGTAATGTAGTCGGGGCGGCAGCACCCCAAACGTGCGAGCAATACTCGAGGCTAGGCCCTATCTGGGCCTTGTATAGAGTGAGAAGGTCATGCGGAGAAAAGTACTTCTTAGCCCTAAACAAATAGCCTAGCTTTTTCCCAGCAGCTGCAGCTATTGACGAGATGTGTTCGTGCCAGATCAGGTCCTCGGTGATCTGGACTCCGACCAGCCGAAATGAATGGCTCTTTGGCAGAACTCGACCATCCATCGAAACCGGGTGAGCGCAGGGACGCTTTTTGTTCGTCAAAGTACAGTACTGCGTTTTGGAAGCATTGAACTGTACAAGATTGTTGCGTCTCCAAGCAGTGATAGCCTCCAGGTCTCTTGTCAGAGAGGAAGTCATCACTAGTCTTCTTTTTTCCAATTCAGCGGCAGAGATCGGCTTGTCACTCTGAATTCCTGCATGTAGAGTGCTGTCATCAGCGAGAATGTGGATTGGGTTGATCGTGCAGGAAAGGAGGTCGTTGATATGTAAGAGAAACATTGTCGGGGCCAAGACCGATCCCTGGGGAACACCCACGACGACGGATATCTTGCGGCCAGAAATAAAGTCAGCCAACCATCTGCAAAGGCCATAGGATGGAAGTTTGCTTAAGAGGGCAGCGTGCCACAGCTGATCGAATGCTTTCGTGATGTCAAGAGCAACGACATGAGCCTCACCATAAGACTGGATGAGTTTACTCCACAATTGAGTGACGTTAGCTAGGAGGTCCCCTGTGGATCGTTGGTGCCGGAAACCATACTGCCTGTCGCTAATCAAGCCGTGACGTTCGAGGTAGTCCAGAAGCTCGCGATTTATGCACCTCTCCATCACCTTACTTAAAACAGAAAGCAGAGCTATAGGCCTGTAGTTGTAAGGGTCGGTCTTAGATCCCTTTTTTGGGATGGGTTGGACATGAGCAAATTTCCAGTTTTCTGGGGAGGTGCCGGATTCATAAGGTATCTGGAGGAGACGCGAAAGAACTGGAGCAAGCGCCGGTGCACACCTCTTCAGTACAATGGCAGGAATCAAGTCCGGACCAGAAGGTTTGTTGATGTCGAGCGACAAGAGCACTCGTCTTACGGTCTTATGCCTGAATGTTACCTCCCGCGTAGTGTAGGGAACCCCTTGAATTGATGGCACTTGGGCGTTGGGGGGGACGTCCATGGTGGAGTTGGCAGCAAAGATCTTGGCTAGCACTTCCGCCTTGGTTTTTACTTGAATACAATAGTTCCATCCTGACACGTAAGTAGTGGAAGGCTGCTGTGTGAGAAGTTCTTTTCAATCTGTCTGGCCAGCGTCCAGAAAGACCGACTGCCATTGCGCTGCGACATTACCCTGGGCCTAACTGTTATATCGTGCTGGTTTTTGGCATTGCGCACTGCTTCTTTATATTTGTTTCTGGACTCAACGTCGGCTTGTCTGTTCTTTACAGTGGGGTTTTGTAAGAAGGTTCTGTGTGCCTTGATCTTCTGCTGGCGAGGATCGACACACGATTTGTTAAACCAGCCGTTGGACCCTGGTCTAGGCACTTTCACTGTGTGAGGGATGTATTCCTCCATTCCGACGTGGATAATTTCCGTTATCGAAGAACAGACAGCCGACGCATCCGCGTCAGTGAAACAGACATCTTTCCAAGGAAAGCTAGAGAAGGAATCTCTGAGCCCCTCCCAGTCGGCATGTCCGTAATGCCAAGCTTTGCGGCCTGTAGGAGTTTCTGCTGCCACAGCGGGTTCTGACCGAAACCTAACATCCACAATACCGTGGTCCCAGGGGGGACAGGACAGCAGTGCTGTAAGGGGCAGGATGCGTGGTCAGAAAGAGATCCAGCAGGCTACTGGCGTGTGACGAGACGCGGGGAAAAAAAGTAGGACTCGTCACCAGCTGAGTCAGCCCTTGCGTAAGAGCGAATGCTTCGACTGCACGACCTGCTGCGTCGGTCTTGTTTGAACCCAACCAAAGCTCGTTATGGGCATTGAAATCACCGAGAAGAACTACCTCTGAAGCGGGATGATTGATGTTCAGGAAGTCGTTCTGGACGGCGAGGAATTCGAGTAGGTCATCCCAGTTATGGTCCGAGGGAGAGCGATAAAGGCAGCAAATAAACTTGGGTGATGTTTTGGAGTTGAGGCGAAGCCACAGAATGTCCTTCCGGTCTGATTCCAAAGAAGCATCTCTGGAGCAGGAAAGACTGCTGCGGACAAAAGCCACAACTCCCCCGTTCTTTCTCAGATTGGAGTGCACCTCGTAGTTTGGGAAGTTAAGATGGTTAATCGGTGGAGACTCTGAGATTTTTGTCTCCGCCAAGAAAAGCACGGCGGGACGATTGGATTGCAGGTAGTGATGAACAGCATCAATGTTGCTGTTAATCCCGCAGATGTTCGAAAAACAACTTTTATCTTCGATGTTGTTCCCTCGATTGTTCCCCTGATATTGTACACTTTGTTGATATCTGTTCCAAATAATAAAGTACTTGACATTTCTTTTCACGTATATGTTATTCTGGTTTAAGGAGTTACGTACATTTCTTCAGTATCCCAAATCTAATACAATAAAAATACTGTACTTCAATGTACATAACAGGTGATTTTAATCAGAACCCTAAAGTAACGAAAATAGTTCGATATCAAATTACATTTTCCTAAGTAACTCCGAACTTGCATTTTGTGACATAGCACCTTTATCCTCATGTCCTCAATTATCACTAACTAGTTTGTTATAACTTCGCTAATATATTTTGCGGCGGTTAAGCCAATACCATGCCAGATTTTTTTATGGGACCATGCCTTTACCTGAAAATTATTTAATGTCGTTTTAGAATATTTAGCTCGAAACAAAAATGAAATAGTGGATTCAACATATTCGTTACGTTTTGAACTCATGGATTCAAGAAACGATAAATACTCCTTGAACATTTTAGACTCGTAAAGAGTGCATTACGTGCCTAAATTGAGAATGGATAAATAATAGGTGTTTGTTACCATTTACCTAGGAAAAAGTACAACTTCTTATTAGAAAAATGGAATCCTTTCAAAGTTTCTTTGAGCTCCTCATAGCAGCCGCGGTGCGCTGGTATTTAGGCTTCAGTCTGCGCAGCTGCTCCGGTGTAAAATAAACTTATAATAGCTCTTGAGACATACTTATATACTAGACTTTATAATATTACGTAACGAAATCCAGTAACCTCATGTCATTACGCTCATATATATATATATATATATATATATATATACAATGTGTTAGGTCACGATATACGTATATTTGAGGGAGATATTTTTCAGCTATTTTTATCGACAAATCCACCCGCTACAATGTCCTACCTCACAATCCTTGAAATGGATCCATACCGCTGCGAATGAAATTAGGGCTGACATGGATATGGTCTGCCGTTCAACACGACACATTTTTTAAGAACAACAATGGGCATAACCAATAGTGGAGAACATTTTGAACAGCTTCTGTAACATTAAACATGTCCAAGCTCTCTATAAGAAACATTGATTTGTCATTTTTATGTATAGAGAGTTTGACAACAATTTGCATTTCATTACACCCTTTTTGACCCATGTTAGATAGCATTTATTGCTTAACGTAGAATACTTATGATAACAAAAAGCCGTAGAATTATCACAAAAAAGTACAACTTCACAGACTAGTTTTTGAATGGTGTGCGGAAATGCACAAAATAATCAATTTTCTTCCAGATTTTTTTCTGTTTTTGTCTATTTTTAAGTACGTTTGACGGTTAGTATAAAAACAAGTTTTTCAATAATCGTTAGGACAACATGTCATCGTTCAAATGACACCAAATTTATCATTCTGTGACACTTACGTACTCGGTTATTACAATTTTCCTACATGCACTACCGTAATCGTAACGTAAAAATAAAAATGGCTGCCATTTCATGGGGGATGAGGTAGGACATTGGAGGGAGGTGGATTTGTCGATAAAAATAGTTGAAAAATACCCCTCTTAAATATCGGTATGTCGTGGCCAAACACATTGTGTACATATATATATATACAGGGTGACTTTGAAGTTGAGTCATTAATTTTCAGATAATGATTGTAGAAGGAAGATAAACCAAAATATGTGTGTAAAAATTAAAAAAAAAATAAAAAAAAATGTTACCTTGTTTTATAAGGTATACAATTTTAGAAAAGCCGATTTTCCTTCACTGTATAGAGAACTCCTATCAATAAATTGGACTTCGACTGTGAATTCTGATGATATAGATATCGCAGTAGATCGTTTTTATGAAAAATTGTACAGCACTTTTGATACTCATATACCTGTATACAAAAATTATTGTCACAAGTATCCACCTTGGTATAATTCCAATATTATTAAAAGTATTAAACAAAAAGCTAAATACAGGAAAAGGTTTGCTAAGCTTGGAC